CTATAGTCTTCTTATGTGAAAACCCTCTCTCCTTATATATTCACTAATTGGGCCCTACTTATTTAGAGACAAATATAAAATTTTCATGTCATCATATGAAATTTGCACGTGAGAGAATTTACTCTTAATAATAATAATTATTGGGGGTATCAACATAGCCAAAGTTGCATAGACGTCAGTCTATAAAATATATTAATTGTGTTAATAAAGAGTCTTTATTTTATCATGTTACACGAAGTCATGCAATACTAATAAACAAAAAATAAAAAAATATGATAAGACACTTTCTTCAATGATTTTGTTTTGTCTTATCTTAACCTAACCAATTTTTTTTTCCTCTAACATAACTCTTAATTATCCCGTTAATAAATTAGTGCAGAAACAAAATATTTTGATTTGACTTAACCTCAACCGGTGCGGGACTAGCTGATCCGTAAGTCTGAAATGTTATAATTAATTATTGTAATTATTAATTTTTTTAAGTTTATCTAAACATTATTTTAAAAGAAACATTCATATATTTTGAATAACAATTGGTGTTAATTTAATATAAATATTTAATAAAAAATTATTTAAAATTAACATTTTTACCCTCTAATTATATAAATAAACAAATATAATGCAAAGTGACGAGTTAAACCAAAATTCACAACCTGCTTAAGGTCCAGCTAAGCTTACAACTAAATAGGTCACAGCCCGGTTAAGACCGAATTGAGTTAACAGTAGGTGGTTCGCGATTTGGATTAGATCGATTTTGGAAGTAAAAATTATTCAATCCAATCTCTTCAGTTTGATCATATAATCATTTATTCGGTTTGGATTTTTTTTTTCAAATCCGATCTGATCCATTCATATCTTTTTCGGTTTGAATTGGATCGATTTTCGGTTTTTTAAAAATCTTAAAATTTATTTCATGATTACTGTGCAAATAACATATTTTGTGTATATTGGCTTTGTAAAAAAAAAATTGTTTGAAATACAAAAGCATTTGTAAACTATAATATAAATTTTTTTGGTAATGAGATATGAAGCTCTACAAAGATAAAAAACAAATTGATGAGATGTGACTAGATTTCTTCTTGGGTTTAGTTGATGGATTAATGAGTCTTAGGTTTAGAAATTTTTGGACTATGATTGGGGAAAGACCCAAATAGGTAGAAATTTTTGGGTAATGAGATATTTATCTGTTAAGCTGCTATAGGCATGTAGGGGAATGTAAATAGGTTGGATGAATTGTTAGGGACTCAAAGTTCGGCTTATTTTAAGCATGACCTGGCCTAATTTGTTTAATAAATAGAACATGCTTAAGCTTTTTATAAAGTTTGTTTAGTCAACAAGTCTAAGCTTAATTTAACGAGTCTTGTCTTAAAAGTCTGAGAGCTGTCCCGATATATTATTATAATAAATAATATATTTTGTTCCGGCTAGATAGTATGGCATATGGACTAAGTGAGTTCTATGATTATTTTTTCTCTGATGAAGGAATATAGAATTTGATACATTTATATTCTCAACATTTGGATGCATGTGAATTTGAAAAAAAAATTCTATAATTATAAATTAGTCAAGTCAAGCCTTTAATTTTTTATAAATAAGTCAAGCCTAAAATTTAGCTCGTTCCAGATTAATAGGCCAAGTCAGACTCAAAATATTTTTTATAAGCTTAGTTGGTTTAATAATTAGTACAGACTAATAGTCCACGTTGATATGAATAGATACCACTGATAAGGGTTTGTCTTAGAAATATTATGAGAACTTTGGTATGACGTGATTAATAATTATTTGTATGTTTTTAATCTTAAGCGTTAATTAAGTATATAATGGACTCATTGAATTAAATGATAAAATCTATATAAATTTGATCATTTCTCTTCATAGTTTTATTTTGCCAAGCTTGAGATAAATGAATCAATTGATATTTGACATCATTATTTGATTTTTTTTTAAAAGTAGTAAATGGTTAGAGTTTACCTCGCCAGTCGCCAGTACATATGCATAAGTTTACATACATTTTTTTTTTAATTTAAAATTGTTTAAAAGGAAGTCAGATTGCTATGGATAAATACGGCTCGCACTGGGATTCCAACTCTGTTTGACGGCGAAATTGAAGCATGATTTTGTTTTCGCAAGACTTATCATAAAAATCGAATATACTTTCTTTTATTGGGAGACGCACTTCGCTTTCATTATGCCTTCTTATCTGATCATAATGAATTGGGTTACATTGGTGTTTTGATGAAATGGATGGACACTGTGAGATCTTTAACTCAGTTGCGTGGGATGATGTTGCAGTTGTGTATTTTGACTGGAAAAAGGAACAATATATGCAAGGTATTCAAACGGTTGAGCTAGTATCTGAATAATGAGTTTAAATATATTGAATAAAATAATTATACCTCAATCTTAATTTCATGCGACATAACCTGATTGTTGGTTTAGCATATCGTTTTGGTCAACTCAAGATAACACGCTAAACCAACAAACAAGCTTTTCAAGACGATATGCGGCATAATCTGTTTGTTGGTCATTTCAAATCGTCTTACTATGACAGCATGATTGATATATCTTTTGATTGATTCGTTAAGGTGGTTTTTCTAGTCTGCCATTCCCGTTGGATGCCTCCTGGTAAGCTGTATTTATAAGGCTCATGGCATGATATATTGTAGAAGACAAGAACGGATATTATAAAGTCTGGTTAAATTTTAATATTATTCAATATTTAATATGATATTGTATAAGATAATATATTGTATAATATAATATTATCTAGTGTTTGATAATCAATTATATAATACTAGATAAGATAAAAATAAATATTTTTGATAAAAATACCCTTTAATAAAAAATTTATGTAATTCTTTCAAATATATTATATGATTTTAATTTTTATAGAAATTGTTTAACTGCCCCAAAGTTTTAAAGTGTATTTTTAGCTTATTCTATGATTCAAGCAGTGCATGTTTGCCACAAGAATAAGTAAATAATCAATGACATTCATTCAAAAAGCTTCAACCATCAAAATGCTAAAATAAGTAAGTAAATAAATAAATGAAAAATGTTTAAGGTGGATCGAATAAAGACACCGTGAACCTCTGCCTAAGAGGTGCTCAAATTGGAGGTAGATTTTGTGACATTGTGTCCGATTCGACCCAACTTGCCAAAATGCTGACCGAAAGAAGAAGAAAATGGAGGGGAGGGGCTTTGGTGGTGCGTGGGGACACTGATTTCCATGTCGCCCCTCGGCCCGGCAGCGGTGATGGTGGCACCGGAAATGGACGATAGGGAGTGGACGGAAAAGAAGACGCCGAAGGAGCAGAGTGGACAAAGGTGGGAGAGACGACAAGTGCGGGAAAAGAGATTACGATTGTTATGGCTGATGCTGATGCTATTGCTGTGGCGGCAGCAGCTAACTTTGGTTGAATGAGGGCGGAGGGCGAGGATGGGGAGGGGTTGCGATGGTGGGTTACGTGGGGAAGAAAAGGGTAGATGAGGGAAAAAAATATAGAAAGCGATTAATTGAATATATCATCTCTTTTTAGGTCTAATCTCATCCCCTTAGACATATCATCTTGATGGTCATACAAAATAACTGAAAATGTCATAATATATAATATGAACTTATATTATCAGATCTTATATATCACACTAACCAGACTCTTAGTCGGAAGCTTATCCCTCATCGACTGATGAGAAGATTTGACGGAGATGTGACTGGGGTTTAGTTGTCTGTGTTACATAATATCTTACAGAATTCATGTATGCATATCTAATATATTTTCTTATTGATTAAGTTTTTAGTTCGTATCTTTTTTTTGAATTTTTTTTTTTTTTTTTTGGTAATCTGTAAGGCTAGAGATAGCCTCACAAAAATTAAATTAAATTAACTTTGCAAAAAGAACAAACATGATAAAAGTATGCTAGATACAGTAATCAAATACTAGGGGGAGAATGGAAAACACATAAATTATTTTTTATTGGATCAGTGGGAATTTAGATAAGCAATTGCACAACTATTGCTCTCTCTGTAGGTATGAGTAGTCACTAATCGTGGCTCTCCACTGCTACTCTTTTCGAACTACTTTAGTTCGTACTTTTAGCTTTTGTTGAGTTGTTGTCTTATTGGGTCTTTAGAGTTTATTTAGATGACTTTTTTTTCTTGAAAAGCTATTTTTTTTATAAGAAAAAAAAACACTTCTCAAAAAGTCTATTTAGATGTCTACTTTTAAGAAAAATAAAAATTATAAAAAAAAATCAAAAACATATTTTTTTCGGAAGCTAAAAATTTTAGCTTCTAAAAAAAACAGAAGTCAAAAATTAAATATTTTTTTAAAAATTAAATATTTTTTAAAAATCTAAATAGCTATAACTTTTATAAAAAGTAGCTTTAAAATAAGAAAGTCAATATTTTTTTTTAATTAATAAGCTATTTGGTTTCTGATTATAAGTGAGGTACATTACATCTGTGTCATCGCGAACTGTACCAGAAAGTTTTCTATTTTTCAAGTTCTCTCTACATTATACTAAAAAAAACTAATTTCTTTTTCTATAATGCTAAACATACTTCACGTTAATTTTTATTAATGAAATAATACTTAATTATATATATGGCTGATTTAAGTATTTTATTCCTATTTAAATTTCTTTTACCATTTTGCCCTTCTTATTAAATTATATATCAATTTACTGTTTCTATTTGACCAAATCTTAATTATCGATAAGTTATTTACGGAGGAAAATTATTCATTTACTCGAATAAATGTCTATTAAACTTCGATCAAATATTAATATATAATTTAAGAAGAAGAACAAAATGATAACCTCGGATTTGGTTGGGGTGTGGGTGAGGCTATGAGCGAACCTGTGTCATCAAGAGGATAATTCCATTCCAGGCAAATAAAAAAGGGATAGAAAACTCTCGAGCAATTACGATGTTCAAAAACGGAGACATCTATCTTAACGCACTATAAGCTGCGCTCAAGTGAAATTGCATAAACGGACTCGGAACAGCGTATCCAATTAATAGCAACCAAGCTATATTTATACAATGCGGGGAACTAAGTCAGCAATGTTATGAATATAGAATAAACAATCAGATTTCATATTTAGCATAGACAAAGAACAATAAGAAAATAAAATGGTCTGCAAAACAAAACTTCCCAACCAGGAAAAGGTGGGGAATTTTAAACCAGTCTGTCGTGTATCTGGGGATCAGCCACACTAACACCAAATAGACACAGAAGTTCATGAGGTCAAGCATACTCTCAAAAAAGCACTTTAAATCGCTCTTCAAAATAGATGCATGCTGCTCCCCCTCTTCAATGAAGTCCAACTCTAACTTATGTACAGAATTTCCCCTAGATCAAAGAATGTCTGAACTCAATGAATGAATTCCCAAAGAATATCTCACGGGACAATGATAGTCATATATCAGTGACACACAATGATCACAACCTCAGATAAAAACCTCCAAGAGGAGTCACTTGAGCTGCACAAGCTACAAGCTTAGCCAGAAGCCGGTATGATAAATTCCAAGATCATATTCACCTCTCTCTCCTGCAATTTCCGGGCAAGAGAAATTTGTACTTCTCCGCATTTTCCAAAAGAAAAGCAGGAAGATGAACTGCAGAATATGAATGGGGTATTGGTCCCATTTTACCAATGATGTCCTTGAAAGTGTACTCCTCAGGCAGCATATCAAATAAATCAGCCCCTTTACATATAACTTTCTGAATTCTTTCGGGATTCAAATAATGAGAGAACTTGACTCTATCATAATGGCTATAGGCTTTCATCTTAAAAATGAAATCACTGATTCGACGAAAGCAGAAGCTACAATGCCAACCAGCATCCGCCAATAACTCATCAGACTGGCGATAATGTGCATACCTTGTCTTACCAGTCTGATACCTGTGAACTGAAGCTCTCCAACTCTTGTCATCCAGACGAAACTCAAATGAATAGAGATAGTTCTTCAGCTGTAGATGAAGGATTGAAGGTACTTCATCACACCACCTCAAGAGGTTAATAGTGTGAGCACTTGGTATCTCATCCACATCAGACATAATCAACAAGTCATCGTCAGTTATACCAGCTATCTTAAGGAGCTGGTCCAATGCCACACGCTGATATGCCTCCTCAACAAATGGGTTTTCTCCTTTCTTAAATCTCCCACCAATAGTCCCATAAGTTAACCGGGGCTCAACAAACTTGAACTGTGCCCTATTGCTATTGAAAACCAGAGGCTTAGGAATTCCAGTAAACGTAGAATTTGACTCAAGGATAACAAATTCAGTAACGTATGGGTACAATTCTTTCCAACGCAAGGTAAGTATTTCCAACTCGTTACTAAACAACACAGCATCATAAACACGTCTTGGGTACTCACGGACTCCCCAGCCATGTAGTCTGCAGAGATTCTCCATTGTAACATTTTCGTTATAGTAATGAGGGATGACATTGAAAGGCTTGGGCGGTTTTTCCCATAGTGGCCGCAGAAAGTACGAGATCTTCTGTCCATGTATATAGATTCCAAAGACGCACATTGGCACAACGGCAAGCAGGAATATTAACGTTTTCAAATCAAAACCACGCAAAATGCAGCGGATTCTTGACATGCCAGATGCTTGACTTGATTCCTGCAAAATTAAGGAACAATCATCTAAGTAAACAATAAAAATCTACCTTCAATAATGGAAAATCATGAAAAATAAATAGACAATGCAGCTTCATTCCAAGAAACATAACAACCCATAATCAAAATGCTAATTTTCATCTCTATTGGTCAAAATTTTCAATTATCAATTAACTAGTATCGGTAATTCTAATCATAAAGCCAAAGGTGCATCATGGAGAGTTTACCCCCAAAATGCAAGTTGTTCATGTGACAAACCTCGCACCCGTCCAAATCCAATTACGGCTGCAAAACCCCTTCCCCACCAAAAGGAATCTCTCAAAAATAGGAACAAGAAAAGGAAATGAGGTAAAAGGGTGTCTTCGTGCACGTTACTTACAAACCGCACAAACTGGTTCAGCAGATTTACTAGAATTAGAAAATCCAGACGCTAAAACCTCAAAAACGCAACCTTATTATTCCCGTACCCAAATTCAGTTCACGAATATCTCGTACACAAAAAATAAAAAATAAAAAAAACAAAAAAAAAACAATAACAACACAGAGAAAAAGAGCAAATCTAGGACGAGATTTACAACACCACCCACTCAGAGATTGCACTATACCCTTTGTATCGAACTCTATATCAACGTATTATAAGGAAAAACCATTCAATTCGACTCTCTTTAATTTCCCCCAGAATCACCCCAAACCCATAAATTGAAGGGGCAAATCAGAGCCACAGCGAAAAGACTAACATTTACATTGAAAGCACATACAATGAAAAGTAACATTTAATAAAATTAAAAAGAATATTAATCTAATTAATTATTGATGATATACCTGGCCACAAACATTGCTGCACAAATCATCGCTCTTCTTAGAACAGTTATTGGCTCCGGCCTCGCCCATCGTCAACCACATGTTTGCGTCCTCTCTATTTAGGCCTTCCTTCGAAAAGAAGAATCAATCAAAACCAGATCGATCGCTACTCCAAAAGCGAATAGTCGTTTGGTCGCAGGGCTTTCGAAATCTTAGTGGAGAAGCAAAGAAAACGCGTGCGTGTTCTTTCCAAACGGGTTTAACAGAAATTATAAATAATAAAATTGGAAGAGGAACAAACAACGAGGTAAAGGTGTAGCCTCTCTGTCTCTTTGGGAATGGGTGGCAGTTGTCGTCTCCACACAGCTATGAAACTGAATAAAAGTTTCCGTTACACTTACACGAGATTGATGATTCCGTTCTTATATTATTCTCAATGCCGCTTTTGATTATTATTAATATTCTTCTTCGCTTATAATATTTATAACCTGAAGTCTTTTATTGTGGGAGGGTGTTATTGTAATTTTACGAATTTTATTATTATTTCTTACTGAGTCCCATCCCATCCCCACGCGTTGTTGTATTGACTGGCTCGCGACAACTGGTTCTTTCTCCGTGTGTTATTTATTACTATTATTATTTGGTGTATAAATATCTTGGTATTCTAAGAAACACGTGGCAAGCAGCCCATGTGTGTGGGCTTTGCTTTACCGTCGTCGTTTCGTAGGGAACATTATAATTGGGTAACGGTGTTAGCAGAGGTCGGCTTTGGCTAAACCTGCATGCATTGGAATAATCCAATCCAACACTGGCACGACAGTTGCGATGATGATGGGAAGTTAAGCAAATAATAATAACTCAACAAGACAAGTATGAGGAATAAGAAAACAACACGTCGTGAGTGGGGCCCCTTATTGCAATGAGGTTGTGTTGTGGGCCCCCACCACGAGCCTTTTGTTCCGTTTGATTGGGATGTGGGCCTGTCCTCGATCTGCCAACCAGGTCACGCTTTAACCAACGTCTCGCAAAAGGCCCCAGTGCTTTCTTATTATTATTATAATTATTAATGTGGAATATCCGAGGGACAAAGTCACAAAGACCATTTGCTAATTGCTATCTTTTAAAAACAGAGAAAAAAAAATGTGCAGAAATGCCATGACATGGGTTATATATTCCGCAATGTAACATTTCAATTGATATTAAATTTTAAAATTTTATATCAAATCTTAATTATCGATTTTCATTAATTAACAATTATTATTTATTAATAATTAATTAATAAATTTGATTGACGAAAATTATAATTATTGATTGATAAAAATTATAACCATTGATTGACTTTAATGTCAAGTTTTAAAGTTTGACACTGATATCAAAGAATCATATTCCATGTAACATTTGTGTTTCATTGCCTTAGCCAGCAAAATTACTTTTTTGTCATATTGCCCAAATGAAATAGCCTCGATGAGTCAGTCTTTAAGATCAACAGCATTAACGGAATCATAAGGGAAAAGTTTAAATAGCTTGTTTTATTTATCTTTAAATCACTTATTCCTTATTTATTTTTTAATCATTTACTCTATTTTTTATGTAAATATCTTCTTAAAGTTTCTAATTAATATGACTATTCTACCCAAATACAAAGATACACTCTAGTTATCTTATATCATCTTCTCCCTCAAACTTTACAAAAGTATTTTAGCATATAAAATTGGAAATAAAGTTTCTAAAGTTATTTTAGAAAAATTTGTCTAATGTTCACCAAAACTACATAGTTTAAGAATTTTTTTATTAAAAAAGAATAATAAAGACTATTATAACTCTGAAGTAAATTAAAATTATAAACACACCATGATTTTCGTTCCAAAATAATGTCATTTCAATGAACATTAAATAATATTTTCTAAAATAACTTTAGAAAAAATGAACCCTATAAAATTACTCCGGTTTCAAACAAAACTTGTAAAGTTCCTGTAATAAGATAATGAGAGAAAAAAATCATTAAAAAAGTTAAACTCGTATAGTTGAGCCATTATCTTTTGACACAAAATTATATGTTAATAGCTTTCATTGAATGATAGTTTTTAAATTTATTGACTGATAGTTTACTCTATACAATACTAAACAATTACATAAAGATACAAGTAACTGTATAACTTCTGTACTCTACAACATGTAACTATAGATTTTATTTTATTTTTTTGGATAATGAAAATATATATTTCTAATTTTTTAAAGATAGAATATATATTTAAATTTCTTTGTTCCTCCTTATCTGATGACTAACATATTTATTTTCACTTTTTGTTTTTTTCCCTCACATATTCCCTTTTTCTCGTAAAAATAATTTTTGGGAGATTTTTCTTTTGGCAAAATCTTTTACAAGCTTTAATAAATAAAATAAAGCTAGTCAATGTGAAAGCTTGAATCTTTACCTTGAGCCATTATTTTTTGGCACAAAATTCTGCTTTAATATCTTGAAATTTATGCATAAAATATCTGCAGCAAGCGAGAAAGGAAAATTTATTACCTTATTACAGGAACTTCACAAATTTTGTCTAAAAATAGAGAAATTTTTGTTTGGTAAAACACTCTTGTAAAGCTTGGGGAAGAAGATGACACAAGGTAGCTGAAGTGTATCTTTGTAAGAAGAATAAAATAGTCATACTGATTAGAAACTCTAACACTATAAAGAAGGGACATGAATGGAAAAAAGTACCTGGGTATAAATAATACTAAAGCGGAAGACTTAATCTAAACTACGTTGTTATCTTACGTAAATTTGCGAAATAACTTTTTTCTTTCTTTTTAGCATAATTAATTTCAGAGCATGTTCTATTTTCAGTCCTATTGCATCGTCCCATACCAACACAAAGTTCCTTCTCACTAGCTTATCAATCCTGTGATCATAAGTAATGATCATTGACCATCACAACATGATAACTAGTATCAACCCTGACAGAGGCAAATAGACAGCATAACGGCTGTAAACTGGACAATCCTGGGAGCACATCCCTCTCTTTAATCAATTTCTGATACTCAGAATAGTCTAGCACATATATACAATTACAAATTGTCCTTTAGAGGACCTAGGACCCATCCATGGGGTCATACACTATTGGCTCTGTGTAACTACACATTGTAACTTATACACATCAGTGACACGTTCATCTAACTGAATATTACATACATACATGTCTGAATATCTTATGTACATATATCATAACAGAATAATCTTTCAAAATAAATAGGGACCATGTACAAAAGGCAGATCATAAATCATGACCCCAAATTAAACATAACAGAGTCTCTAAAAAGGGAGGCTGTCAAGCCCATTATGTCCGCTCTACTAACTTTGAATCACATCCTTGGCCCTAGAAGGCTCTCTCACGGGCTGTTCAACTAAAATCATGTCACCAAGACAGGGTGAGATAACAAATCTAAGTAAGCTTAGGGTTTATAGAGTATTCCTTATACCTGAGCCGACTTCCTGTAAGAAAGGCTAGATACAAAGCATAGAATATACATCATATACTAAATATATCAAATCATATCAGACATATGTGACCTCCAAGAGTTTAAGTCCTCCAGTGGATTAGTCAACATATGATATTGACTCCCAAGAGCTTAGATCCTCCAGTGGGATAATCACAACATATACACAGTGACCTCCAAGAGCTTAGATCCTCCAGAGGATTAGTCAACGAAAATTCACTCAATGGCCATAAACTACACATACATATACATATCACATAATCTTATCATATATATCTATATGAATGCACATATACCAGTTATTAGACGTACAATCATACAGTTGTACCAACCATAGTCTCACTTGACCAAGGTGGAGCATACAAAGAGAGGCATAATCCTTAAACCGAAACCTTACCTTGCCAAGCTTTACCAATTGCTTACATGAATTTCAAGAAGCTACAACTCATTTTAGTCACAACCTAGAGTAGGAATCCACATCAAATATTTATTACATAGGTTAACTGCCAAATATAATTACAAGACATTAGCACTTGTATGATTCTTTTACTTTACACGTATAACTTACCAATTGGTTTAATGTCACTTCAACTTATCACAATCTTGCTTCACATATTCATATGCAAATTATATGTCAAACAACAAGTCATTACTAATTTCTGATACCATAAATGTAACTCAACACATAGGACCATGAGAGGGTGATTACTTGTTGGATAAGCAACCATATGGTTCCACACACATGCTTATACTAGAAATGACACAAGAGTGTCTCCTAGGTACCAATTACAATTTTCAAATTTATTCAACCGATTTAAAGCCCTTAATTTTTCTTCATAACCAATGCCACACCTAGGGACATCAAATAAGATTTTTCTTAGACTTTTAACATAATGGACATGATTTATCCATTGCAATTCCATCCAACTACACATAACAAGCCTAAGACATGTCATTAGGAATTTTAACACATCAAACCCAAAAAACCACATGATGGCTGAAACAGTGACATAGATGCCTTATTTTTGCAGCCTTTACTCTAAAATACAATAAAACTCCATTTGTATCTGATAACCCTGAATTTTTGATATGTTATAGAGGATATATATAGCTTTAATTTTCAATAAACCACACTCCATTTGGAGGTCTACAATACAACTCCAGAAATCGATTTTTTAAGTTGGGAACATAATTGAAAATGAGTAGCTTTTTTTTTTGAATACCTGCACTACCATTTTTACTTCATTCTCAATTTAAGGTACTCAAACATAAAAGTTTGATTTCGAGCCCTTTACAAAGGTTTTAGCTTATGTCTTATCTTTTCAAAAAAGTTGAGAACACCTAATTCCAATATCTATAACTCTAGATATGGTCAGATTACCGAAGTAGGCTTGGGTTTTACAACAATATTGCCTTCCGAACTTAAGGCTCAATTTATAACCTTTTAAAAACGAAATCAGATTTTCACTTCTTCATGAAAGCTGTAGGTATGATTCTAAGCTTTTCAAAATACTAAAGCATGTTCATATCCAAGGTCTACAACTCAAGTTAAGCATTTTACACTAAACACATACACAACTTTGTTTTCACATTGGCATTTCATCAAACACTTGGTCTACACACTTTTCATGCTCTTCTATCACTTATTTCATACTTCTCTAAATTCCCAAGGGTGGACAATCATTAACCAACACACATATCTATACACATTTAAAATACATCAAAATTGTAAAGAAAGAATGGCTAAATAAACACAAGAGAGGGTGAATTGTGTTTTAAACTTTTTTGAATTAAACAAAGAAAATTAAAAATCCCTTTTGAAGAAAGCATGCAAGAGAGATTTAACAATTAATAAAAATTCTCAAACCCTTTAAACAAATTCATACTATCAAGAACAATGAATCAAAGAAGAGTAATATGCAGTGAAAAATAAAAGAGTAAAGAAAGAAAAGATGACAGCGGGATATATCCTGGTTCATTCTCCACCACTGAGAGCTACATCCAGACTAAGGCCGATCGTTCCACTATTATCAAGATTTCAACTGGTGCTTGAAGAAACTATTTTACAAGTGAACTTTTACAAGAGCTGTGATCTACCTGATCACCCTTACCCTTAACCTAAACCCTAGGATCACTTCCCTTGAACCAAACCTCAATTGAAATTTTACAAGGCTTTGATCAACCTCTTGATCACTCTTAACCTATACCATAAGATCACTCAAATTGAATCAATCATAGCAGAACTACCTGCCCAAATTTAGAATTACAAAAGAAATCAAAAGAAAAAAGATGAAGAAAAGAAGAATATATTGAGCTCTCTCTCAAGATATGCAAAATATATCCTACTTAGTGTTTAATCTTTGAATCTAAAGATTCTGAGGTGTTTCTTTGTAAAAACATGTTTCTCTCTTTATTATCCAAAAAGAATTTTGAAAGGTATTTATATACTTTTTCTCAAAATCAAATCCTAAAAAAAAATCTCTAGATTTATGCACTAGTTTAAGAAAATTTTCTAAAATATCTTTTTGAAAATAAAATCAAAATCTTCAAATTAAATTTCCAAAATTAGATAAAATCAAATCAAATCATTCAAAAAAGGAAATCAATCTCAAATCAAAAATCAAATCTAATCAATTGTTTTTTTAAAAAATTAATCTCAAATTAACTTTTTCTTTTTCAAATTAAATCAAATCTTTCAAAAAATAATAATCTCAAATTAATTTTTTCTCTTTCAAATCAAAAACCAAACCAAACCAAATCTTTTAAAAACATTAATATCAAATTAACTTTTTCTTTTTTAAATCAAAAACCAAACCAAATCTTTCAAAAAATCTATTTGGATTAAAAATAAAACTTTTAAATCTTCTTTCAAATCAAATCTTCTAAATGCAACCTTGAGAGATATTACTCAATAAAATCAATTCTCAACATTCCTAAGACTCTAATTAACATTACAAGCAATATACTCTTGAATCTTTCTTCACTTGAAAACTTTGACTTTGATGTGGACTTTGCACATTTAAATTACTTATTCACTTTTGCATGTTGCATTGATCTTCTAACTTTATTTAGGACTTGTTGCACTATCTTCTAATTTTTGCATCCATGTTGAGCTTGTTGGTGCTTTGTAATCATCAAAACTTAAAATATATAAGCTTGGAAACCTATGGTTCAACAAAAACATTATCTTCCCTCATTAAGTCATCATAGCCGAAGATTACCAGAGAATGGGATCAATGGAATTTCAAGCTTTCGTACAAAGTCTTGTTAGTTTCCAACAAAAAACAACCAATTAACAAATTTCCCATTTAAGACATATTATATATAATCATACAAGCATAATTTTCAGCCCAAAAATTCAGCAATGAAACCAAGAATCAAAGGGTGAAACTAACCTTTTAAATTGTTGTTTCTTAACACAAATGCACTCAAACCATCAAAGGATCACTTCCTACAAGTTAAACCATGAAAATAACCCATGTTTTTTTCCTGCAATAGTGACAATGGCAACGGTCTTTGAGGAGGGAAATGTCTCCAAAAACAGCCACCCAAGAGGAATCAATGGATGAGTTATGTTCCTAAGACCTAGGACTTCAACTTTGGTGAAATAGCTTTTGCGTGAAAATGGCTAGAAAATGAAGCTACAAGCTCTTCTCACTCTCCAAGGGCTGGTCGGCTTGAAAAGTAATGAAGGAGAAGAAGATCGCATGGGAGGAAGAGAGAAATGTGTTGACCAAAAAGTGGGTTCAAAATTATCTCTTAAGTGAATATCTAATATTTGTCTCTCACTATTACAATAATTCCTATTTAGTCTTATAAATTAGCCCACTTAAAACTTAACTTAATAAATATAACATTTTTAGTCCTAATATGACTTGTTTGACATAAATTGAATTTTTTTCATTTTTGAATTTTACCGATAAATTTCACTGAAGTGCAATTTATCCTGTAAAATCACTATTCACACTTTTTTTTAAAAAGTACCGGAATACTCTAAAACACATACTTAACTCAATTTTATCATTCATATTCATAAAATAAATCCTTAACTACTCATTTAGTAGGTTAGAGTTGTTATAATTGTTAGGGGTGTTAACATAGGTCATGACACACGGGGCGACCCGCGACATGACAAGAAAAATCGTGTTCAGGTTGACCCGCAAAAAAAATCGTGTCGTGTTCGTGTTGGGAAAAATGACACGTAAAAAATTCGTATCGTGTTCGTGTTGATCTATTCGTGTTCGTGTTGACCCATATTTTTTTTAATTATTTTATTTTTTATTTTTTTATTTCGACCCATTTTTTAATTTTTTTTTTGTCAATTACCGTTTTGACTCCTATTTTGCATGTTATTCGTGTCGTGTCGTGTCAACCCGCAAAAATTTCGTGTCGTGTTAGTGTTGAAGATTTTGACACGAATAAAAATTTGTGTCGTGTTCGTATTGATATATTCGTGTCGTGTCAAATACGTGTCGTGTCAACTCGTTTTGACACCCCTAATAATTGTCTTGCATTAGAGTCTATAAATAGGACGAGGAGTGCTGCTCTGCTTTGGCTTTTTGACCTAACAAATGCATTTTTTGAAATATTCCACTTTTTTAGTTCTTTAGTCAAATGTAATACTGGACTAATGTCGAAAGACGCGCATCAAGTGTCTGCACCTGAAGTCGCGCACAAAGTAGGTGGCATATGACAAAGATTGACTGTGACGCGCTATAAACACACCTAATCAGATTGAACGGACTTAAACGCGCACTTGGGTCTCACACGTCTCTACTGAGATGCGTACTTGATACTGGCGTGTCTTGATTGGACTGACATGAGACACACACTTCGTACTGTTATGTCTTGACAGGACTGACATGAGACGCGCATTTGGTACCAACATGTCTTGACTGGACTGACACGAAACAGGCACGTGTCAGGTGCGTGACTATATGTGTAGACCCTAATGATAGTCTTCCTGCTTTAATTCGGTAATACGTTTGACCAAAAAATTAAATAGAAAAATTATTTCGAAAAACACATTTGTAAGGCCAAAAAGCCTCGTTTTCTGCCAATGTCTAAGATGATATTCACTTACCTATTAAGAATGTTTATTGTTTTGTTTGGCACATATAAAAGTCTTACTCCTGAAAATTAACACATTTTATTGGCACATCATTGTTGGTCTCATCCATGATGTCGAAATAAGAAAATATCATTATGAGACGACTTGCATATGAGGCTAAAGGAATCAAAAGATGAATTATCGAGCTAGAAATACATTTTACAAACGAATATATTACGTCATTTATAACTTAATTATTTATCAATAATATATATAGATTAGTTAATGGATTAATAACTTATTAGTGTTAACAAATTATTAGTCTGTTAATAAATGTTTATATATTTTTAATTAATAATTAACCAGGTCAAAAATGGCACATACAAATTAACCCCAAATCTGTTGAATTTTTCTTTTAACAATTATTATGTACTTTAATATCATTGCCTTCATGTACTATACATGTGGCAAACAGTGGAACGAATCCTACCTTGCAAATTGGCAAACGCAGAGTCCACCCCGATCAAGACGTAACAACTTAGTCTGAATCGGTCAATTTATTTTAAATAATCACTGGGTTAGCATAAAACTGGTTGTATCCTTTATGATAAGGGGAAACAACAATCATAATCAAACACGCGTGGCACCAAAGAAAAAGTTTACTGAGATTAAACTCTCATTTTAGTTTTTTTTAGAGACATTCATGAAAATTGAACACATAACTTAATACAAATTATTTAAATTCCTTATCACAAGACCAACCCTAATGACTTAAACTCTCATTTTAGTATAGGTGTTACTAGTTAACAAAAAATAAAGAATATTACATAAGTATTAAAAACATGTTTTTTGATCAATTTAGTTCTTAATGCTATTAATATGACACATATTTCAAGCATTTATACAGTAGTTTTTATTTTTTTTTAGATTAATATCACTTATAGAATATTATAAAAAATTAAATTAAATATGTACTAGTACAATTAGGGATCCATGAAGAATAATCATGGAGAAATTTTTTTCCATGGCATGACTGGAAAAAGGGTCCGCACTTCCAGAGTCAAAAACTGAACGTTTTCGCGGAAGAGACGCAGAAACATCACCAACTAGACGAAGACCGAGACAACCATTTGAAGTTTAAACACTCAACAATAAGGAATTGGTACAAGTAGATCAGCTACGGAGAAATCCGTGGCGGAAATTTCAAAAAGTGGCTTTTTCGGATGATGTAAAGTTGTAAACGACTCGCGTCAACTACATCTTGATTTGGGATATTCAATTATTCATATCCCATTTTATGACCTTTGTAATTTTGTTTTATTGTTGTATTAATATTACTATATTAGATTAGATAACATTGGAAGAATGATCATATTGCCGGCAAAAATTTACTTGATTCTCATGTCTGAAATTTTTTTTGTCAAAATGCCATCTCACAATCTTGCTGGTCTGACAAGCGGGAATGGACTGGACACGTGTCAGCGTCTGAATGATCAACTATTTTCGCTGAGATGCCCAACTAGAATGACAGAATGCTGACACGTGGCAAAAGTACAGGCATGATATTGTCAAAAACATTAACTAAAAAAATCCCCAAATAAATTTTTTTTTGAAGAATTTGAAGGTCTTATTAGTATCATAACTTGTTCGTCATCATCAAATGAATAAATAATGAATGTGGATCAAAATTCCTTGAACAGCTTCCTGACTTGTTCAAGGGTGACAAAGAGGACAACAGTAAAAGGCCCCTGCCTTGACATTGTAGGGATGAATCCCTTGTAAAGGGCCATGGGCCCTTCAGCCCTAACGGTCTTGATTGCGCAATCCAAAGCCCCATTATAGGGTGGCGTTTCCCCTGCCACCACCTTCATGTTCATAACCCTAGTTTTTATCACATCCACGGGGTTCGAAGCCACCGACGCCACAAACCCCGCCGCGAAGCTCGCCGCTACGTGGGTCCCAAGCCCATCCTTAATCCACCCTTTCTCAAGAATGGTCTCCTTGAACTGGTCGTACGAAGCCAACTGAGAAGCCGTTACGATCATGGCGCGGTTCACCGTAAGCCCTGACCCGCGCCACAGGCTAACAATTCCCTCCTGATTCGACATGCTCCGTATTGCGTTGAACACGCTCTTGTAATTGCGCCGCTCACCCGCCGGGAGACGACCGTCGGCTTGCATTCGGACCATGGCCACGTCGGCGGGGTTCCCGACGGCTGCGCCGATCCCTCCGGCGACAAGACCGGCAGCTATCTTTCGGGAGAGAGGCATGGTTCCGAGTTCGGGATCGGTCCACTTTTGCTTGATGACGTCGTATAGACCCATGCGGGTTGTTGAATAGAGCGTCTGGCGGAGCACGGTGGCGGATACGCCGGAGAATAGAGCGGCGATGCCCTCAGACTGGACAATACGCATTCCGACGGAGATGGGTCCAGGAATGGTCGATGATGAGATGGGAGGAGGAGGAGGAGGAAGAATTGGAGAGTGTGAGTGAAAGGCAAAAGCTGGGCGTAGATTTTGCATTGGGTTGGGGTTTACAGAGAGTGAGAGATTCTCTCCCTGTAGCTGCATGCGAACTTTGATGAGGTCGAGTGGGTGTGTGGTGGACCCCGCAATTATGGAGGCAACACCACCTTCCAAAAATCCTTTGAGACCCATCGTTATGTTATGAATTATGATATATGATATAATGATGATGCAAATTGGATTTTCAAAAACACACAGACACTGAACACTGTGGTTACGTTTTAGTGAGGAATGAAGAAGGGATTGGGAAGCATTTTATAGTGAGTGAGTGTTTGTGAACAAGGGAGGGAAGGGTCAAAGAGTGAAGAGGGGAAATTCCAGGATCATGAGAAGAAACGCGCCGGCACAGGGTGGACACCTTCAAGGGAAATAGGGTAAGGTGTTTCTTTTACACCCTTAATGGGACTTTTGGGGGGGACGCATCACGCTTTAATACAACTAACTAGGGCAGGGTGTTCTTCTCCCCTCGTTATGTTCTTCTGCACTTAATTTTCAACTAAGGGAGGTCTTAAGTCTTAACTCTTTCATTTTTTATTATTTATTTTCATTTGGCAAAGCATGATATGATAGTTTTTTTTTTAATTATTTTATTTTAGAATAATATGAAAAATATATTATTATATTTTAGAATTAATTTTACCATAAATATCTAACATAGGAATTATTCAATCATTAAAGTTTTTAGACTGTAAAATGAAGGTGTTTCAGTTCAGTGGTTCACTTTGACGCCAATCATTTAGGACTGTTTTAAATAAATTCGAAAATTCTTCCTAGCTTCTTGGAGGGGCCTTTTTCCCTTTTTTAACAAAATAAAAAATAAATCGGGGTACATTAGCCACGGAAGAAACGAGTAAGTCTACATATATGTCATATATTAAACACACAAAAAACGACCAAAGTTTTAGATGGCTCTTTAAATTTTGTTTATGTGATTCAAATTTTGTTATTTAATTTAATATTAATAAAATTGTATATAAAATAGAGAAACACAAGTAAATTTTAACATGAAAATTTTTCTCCAATACGAAAAAGTAAAATCCACCGGACATTAGTTTAGAATCAAATGTCCACTGCGCGAATAATGGGTTACAAAAAGATCTAATTTTATCAATAATAATAGTACTTTCAAACCTTTCTGCAATGGTGATATTCAATTAAACTTTTCAATAGAAGTCTCACTCTTCTAATTTGGCCTGTGTGGATGGATCGGTGACCGACTCTAACCCATAATACTTTTAACCCGTATGAATTTTTATTATTGAGATTGATTTAGTTTTGCGAATTTTTTGGCCCTACTTCATATCAGCTGCTAAGGCCTAATGGGGTTGACCCAATTTACAGTTGTGTTCACATTTATGATCCATCCAACTGTCTCGGCGAGAAGAGCTCTCCTAATACGCGGCAACTAAACTGCTACACCCTACAGCCAATCGAATTAACTTTTATTTTATTTTAGCCATACAAATAAGTCTTGATTTGACCAATTGATGAAGGTTTTTTTGTTTTATTCAATGACACACAGATATAGATAGATACATACAAAAAGAGAAGACAAAGTAAGGAATTTTGATACAATTTTTTTAAAAAATAATTGCATTCTGCAATCCTTATGGTTGTTTTAATCGGAAAAAGTGGTAAAATTCTCAACAATGTCTTATAAAGGGGAAAAAAAAAGGATAATAAGAAGAATCATGATGCACATCACTAGCCAAATGCTTGGTCATCATGCGTTTTACCCTCTTCATATAGTGCCAAACTAATTTCGAATGAGAATTCTTTTGCTTTTGAGTGTGCTTATTTTTGGTTCAACTTCAATATTGTGAGTTATGGATTTCAGAAGAACACAACCCAACATGTTGATGCATTTTCAAACTAATTTTTAGGAATGTACACGAGTTAGTTAGAGAAAAAAAATTAAACCAATCAAAATGGATTGATTTGTTTTGGTGTAATTTGGATTTATAATTTTTTTTAATCAAACCCGAATTGAATCAACCCAATATTTTTTTTTTCACAATCATGGGCTTTGAAATTTATTGGTTCACGAGACCAAGTTTTGGGTCATTTACCTAAATATTTTGGATAACGTCCGGTTGCCTTGCACATATATATTCTTTTGTAATGCGTAACGAATGCCCTCGCCCTTTCGGCCTTTTATGGACTATCTTCTGGACTAGGCTTCTGCTACTAAAACCTGGTATCCACTAAACTAACTTAGCAGCATTTGCACTCACTTTTGCTGATTTGAATTATGTGTTCCTATTTTCAAGTGGGTGTAGTCTTTATTATAGTAGGATTGAAAATATTCTCCCGCTAAAGGATTATGGTGGGTGGCATTTTCTCTATATTGCCTTTTTATTTCTTAGGCCTTACTATAGATAACATGAGCCAAGTGGTGCCAAAGTTTTTATTTATTTTTAAACATTTCGAGGGCAGTGCTGAAGGTGTTTATTAATATTGGTTGGTGGTGAAATGCGTGGACCCCGAAAGTAATGTCGTGTGGTTTCCCTGATTAATTAAACGTGTTGGTATATCTTAGTGTATCATTTGCTATGCAGAAACGAGCTGGCATCTGCAGAGTCTAGCTGCTTCTTCCAATGCTTTTTCTATGTAAAAGTTTCCTTTCTACTTTTCATTTCCAGTAGATTCCTTTTTTTTTTCTTTCTACGCACAAATCATACAAGTTGTTCAACACTAAGAATTAATGCAAGACTTCTTATTTATATGCAATCCTACTTAGAAAAAAAAACTGTCCCTGTATGATCATAGTATAGCACAAGAAAAGGATAAATATATTGGGTATGCAAGTATGCTGTATTTACAGTACATAAAATGTTACAATAACCGTCCCGAGGGAAACCGGAGCAAATCTTGGGAATTCAGAACTCGACCCGAAAACCGATCTGACTCGCTCACCATGTGTTTTCTGACCGCCTTTTGCACCTTTCCTTCTTCCTTGTACACCTCAATCCCAGCCTTGTCCTTCACTTCTTTCGCTGAATCCCACAATCTCAGTGACTGTTCCACTTCCAACATCATCATAATAATCATCATCATAATCCTCTCTTTGCACTCCTCCAACCTCTTCATACAACAAACCAATTCAATCGCCTCTCCAAAATTCAAGCAACCCAATCTCTCCTCAAACTCACTCACTCGAACAGATAACTCTGTTTCTATCACAACCCAATCCTCACCCACCAAATTCACAATCTCATCCACCAACTTGTTCCCGTTGTTGGACACATCAGGATCTGGTCTTTTGCAAATTCCCTCAACCAGAGTCACCAGAGAATCAAACTCCGTTAACAAATCCGCGTTCGTAAGACCCGAAACTCTCTCTCCTCTGTCCGATGGAGAGTTTCCTAGGAAGAAACCTAGAATCCTGCAAGTACAGAGGAGTTGCTCGATGTGTTGTGCGAACCATCGGACCCAGGACGAGAGTTCCCACGATACGGGGTTGCTGTTGTGTCGGAAGTTGGAGAGGTTGAGGTAGTTTCTGCCGCCGGTGGAAGGGTACACGGAGAGCTGGTCCTGAAGGATGAAGCTCCCGTGCTTGATGATGTGGTGGACGGCGATTAAGCATTTGAGGGCCACGGCGGAGCTGTTGGTGCCCTGGAGCCTGTCCATGAGTACTTCCACGACGGCGGAGGCGGTGGCGCGTGAGCCATCTCCTGAGGAGAGGAGTGTGGAGAGGTGCTTGTGTGTGGGTGGGGTGAAGGAGTCGTGGCTGGTGGCGCGTAAGAGGGAGAGAGTGGTGCGTTTGGAGAGTAACGCAGCTTTGCTCTGAGAAGCTTTGTCCTTAATTATGCCTATTAGGTTTGTGAGTTTAGTCATTTTTACGTGTGTCTCTGTGCTTCCAGTTGAAACCCAAACCAAACACCAACTTAAGAGACACAGAGACACAGTCACCACTCCCGCATGCTGTTTGAAATTTCCTACAATAAAAAGTAGAAAGGGAGCCCCAATGTACTGTTTTCTTGACCTGGTGGGGCCTGATTATGAAAACCTATTGCTGTCTTTGCCACGATGGTGATCTTAAATTTATTACATTTTTATGCATATTCACATTTGCGTATTTTCAACACATCAAATCAGATACATACAAAACTGTTGATAATTGTTTGTATATTATGAAGTTGAAAAGTCACACAATTATGTATTATTGTATTGCTTTTATATTGAAATTTATAAATTTAACCAAATGGAAGATGATTAAAAAATGTAAAGAAGATAAGAAACGTTTGACCTAGTAGAAGTAGTTATATTCTGAAACAAGTCTATTAATCTTGGACTGGTAAACGAGTATACGCGGCACGATTGATTGTCCATACGCTAATAAATGAAGACGACCAACACGGATCCGCTCTTATTTAGACATTGAAAGAATACAAATCAAAGAGTTTATAAATCGTGTGTACCGAAAATAAAAATAAAAATAAGAATAGATCATAATCAATTGAGATATTGTCAAATGAATACAGTGGGCCCTAAAAAAAACAGGTAAACATCAGTTTCAAAAAAAAATTGTGTCATTTTAAGTGAGAGAAATAGATAGATAAATGAGAAAAGAGTGGACAAAAAATATAAAGGTGTGGGTTCCACCTCTTTGTGAGAGTGAAATAATATAAGTTGTGTCATTTAATAGGACAAACACTTTTTCTTATTATTAATGCGACATTTAGGGATATTGACCGTATTGTCCTTTTTGTGAAAATAATATACATGAATGTCATATATTTGAAAAAATATATCACATTATCACGACATCATAGTCGCTAAGGTATTCAGCTACTATTGACCGAACACGTGGCACTATCTCAGTGTCTGGAAAAGCCTAGGAGGCCTGATTGCCCAAAATAGCTATATTATGTAGCGACTTTGAGTTGGGTAAGACACTTGTCACTAGGGATGAAAGTGGGCTGGGCTGAGCCAAGCTTTGCTCTGAAAAGCCCAAGCCTACGCCAAAAAATTTCAATGTGGCCTGGCTCAAGCCTAGTACGAGTCTAACTGTTAGCCTGACTTGACTCATTTATAAAAAAAACAAATGGGCTGGCCTAGTCCGTTAGCCTGTTAATTTTTAACTTCCAAGCAGAACTATGAAACATCTTTACAAAATATTCAAATTCTGCTGCTAAACCAAAATTCATAATTTCAACATCCAAACAAAATCATGAATCACAACAAAACTCATACAATCTGTATTTAAGTCACTTTCAAAAGCAAAATGCTCAAACTAAATAACATATATTTCACCAAATTCAACAAACAAATTCATACTATATAAATTAAAATAACTACATGAATCCAACAAACACATCATGATGCTTATAGTAAGTATAATCTCTCCCAAAAACCTTTTAATATATTCATATATACAATCTAATATGCTAAGATGTTGGTTCCTCCTACATAAGAAATAAAGTCAGATTTCTATTAAAATATAATCAAATATAATTAAGTTATAAATAATTGCAATTGATTAAATTTATATCTTTTGTTTTTTCTTCAAGGCATACTTATTATATTTTATTTATTTAAAATAAATAGTACAATATAGGCCGGCCTGTAGGCTTATAGGCCAGACCTTGTGAAAGTGAGCCTACGACCTTTTTATTAAACAAGCTTTTTTAAGGTCCAAACCCGGCCTATTTTACGAAATATACTAGGTCAGGTCTAACCTGACGTTGGCCGAGCCTGTAGGCCGGCCCGGCCTAGTTTCACCCATTCTTGTCACTCATTTGATCAAAATGGCCATGATATGTAGCGACTATGGTATACTGATGATTCAAAGTCGCTGGGTAAGGAAACTAATTTGGTCACTGATAGGCAGCTACTTTGGTCTTATAAAGCAACTCACTATCATACCAAAATTGTTCTGTTATGTCTGTGTTATTTTTTAAATTTTATATATTTTTTACATTAATTTAAAATAAAAAATATAATATTAAGTATCATATAATTTACTGTAACTAATTCATCTAAGAAAAATAATTCATATCAAATAATGTCACAACACGAAATAATGTGACAGGTAGGATTATTAGGATATGTGAGAAATTTAAATATCATTTATCCCCCATTTGCACATTATTACATTTAAGAAATAATGTGACAACATGTACATCATTACATAATAATATAATTTTTTTCATTGCATAAGTTAAATTTATAAAGAAAAGCATGTGAGAAATCTTTTGTCATAAATAATTAATTTGTTCATCAGTTTGAGTTTTTCCTTTCTCTTTTTTTCAATCACTAAATGTTCAAATTTTATTATAATTAATTGCAAACAAATGATAAAACGAATCAATGGGAGTCAATTTGCATTGCTTTTGATAAATATTTCGTGGTTATTAATTATCATTCAAAAATCATTAAAGACCTCCAGAGTAGCAAGCCGTTGGTTTGAATATTAAAATGTAAAGGACATACCTTAAAAAACCCTTACGGAGTAACCGCTACTTGATAATTGTCACAACCAAAATATAGGTTGTAAGATAAATCCTTATTTTTGGGGTATCTGCCAACTCTCCAACTTTTCTGGTAGTGATGGTAGCTATCACCATAGCATTTGAATATTGGTGGTTACGAAAGTCGTTGCCATTAATTTTATCCACATTGGGATTCAAAATGCAAGTGGGATGGTCACTATTGCCTGAAAAATACTCCTTGTGTCACTTTTATAATCACGCCTTCTATATTCAATTCACATCCCTTGTTTTGTTTTACTCGCTAGTGGGCAGTGGGCACTGAAGTTGTGAGCTTGTGATACATGTAGCTCAACGGCGATCTACGCTGGACTAGGCTTTGTTGGAGTCGTTCTCTGGTTCATCCTTGATCCATCCGTGGGAATGTAAATAAATATTATTATGTCATCTTTAGACTAATTTAAACTTTTGTTACCCCCATGTTATTATGTGCACACTTAAGTAAGATTATTTTGGACCTAGGCTTATTTTGCTATGTTGAGATAATTTTGTTAAATCTTAGATGACATTTATAGAGAATGTTGCTATATATGCCCATTTTATTGGAAATTGCTTGTGATCACACCTTTTGGCATGCGATTGTGGAGATCATTTTCCATACGACCATAGTAGGTACCTTTTCCATTCAACAACTAACATTTGAATAAAATAAAAAATATCATATTCATTCATGGATTTCTATTGGCTGATCGCACCAAATAAACGGTGCAAGGGTAGTACACTAAATATTTCTGCCATTGTGATGTAATTCTTCTTTCATCTATGTCACATGTTATACTCGATTCGACCAATATATAGTTAAAAGTGCTTGTTCATAATCAACATTCTCTGTGGTCACATTTATTTAGAATAAAATTTTATTAAAAACAATAGTCTACATTGCCTAAATACTGGAGATTGTTAAATTTTAATAAAGTCATAAATATACTAAAATCAAGATTAATTGAATAACAAATATTGCGACACATTTTGATTTCGCCTAAATAGAAATCACGAATGTTATTGGGCCTCTAAGACTTCTTTCATGTGGGTTGTGGTGTTAAGCCTTGTGTGTAGGCTCAAAGTAATTTAGCCCATGTTATAGACACCAGGAGAACTCCATGTCCCTTACTACCATGTAGCGTAGGTGTCCTATTGATATTAGTACATTACAGAGAGTAGAACATCATAGATTAGAAGCAGATCCTCTTGTCGCCTACGCAAAGAGAGACGACCAATTTTGTTTTCTTATTGTTTGTGATTTTATTTCCAGAAAGAAATGGATTTATCACCAATTTCTTACAGAGGTAACCAAACCGAAACCTCTAATTTAATCATGTTACTATATACGCCATTAAATGAGTTGAAAATATTCTCCCTCGTATGTAAGAGTGTGTAAAAAAATCAAAAAAACTGAATTGAAATATGAACTGAATTAAGCTGCACTTAAAAAAAAAAATTGGTTTTTAAAATCAGTTCTTGAACATTGGTTTTTAAAAATTGATTTTTACTTTATTACTTTAGTTATTTACTTTTTGTTTTCTCTTATGCATTTTTCTCTCTTATGTTTACTTTATTCTATTTTTCTTTTAAATTTTTTATTGCTTTATTTAAAAAAAATTGTGGTTTTATTTATATTTATAATTTTTTATTTTTTCTCAATATTTTCATACTTTTCATATGGTTTTAGAACTGATTCAAAAATCTGTTTTAAAGATATGCAAAAGAACCACAAAAAATACTACACTTAAAAAATTTAATTTTTAAAATCAATTCTTGAATTGTTTAAAAAACTAGTTCTTAAACTGAAAATAGTTCATGAACCGAACCTTTTTTTTTTTCTCTCTTCTTTTCATTTATTTTTCTTTTTTCCTCTCTATTTCTCTTCTTTTATTTGTTTATTTTCTGTCTTCTTCTTTTTATTTGTTTCTTTATTTAATTTTTTCTTTTTTCTCTTATGTATTTTTTTTTAATATTTATTGATTTTAAAAACTAATTCGGAACTAGTTCTGAACTAAATCGAACTAATTATGAACTATTTTTAAACTGAATTGAACTTATAAATCAATTCAATTCTAAGAACTGAAATGTTTCTTAAATTCAGTTTGATTCGACAAAGAAATCAAACTGAAATGAACCATGCAAACCCCTACTTATATGTAGGTTAATTCTTGTATCTAAATCTTGTTTAGACTATCAATATTGCATCAATCTAAACTGGTTAATTACTTCTAACAATTAGTTAAACGCCTAGTATAAAATAAAACGGGGTCCCTTCTACAAAAGACCAGACATATAAAAAATAAAAGAAGTTTATCCGCGTGTCAGTTTTCAGTAACAGACACGTATTCAAAGGTAAAGCGGAAGACAAGAGTGGAGCAACCAGGCTAGAAAGCTAAAAACATCCACATTTTTTTTTTTTTTTTGCCTTCATACAACACGCTTTGCCCCCACAAAGTGTTCATGAACTAACATGGTTTTATGCATAACAAGACATGAAAATAAGATTTAGTGCTAGTTTGTGGGTCTGCTATAATTTTAATAAGTCCGACATATTGTTTTCCCTTTTATTTTGGTGAAGCAGGTATTCAGAAATTAAAAGCATAAAAAGATGCTCTCGCGTGTGTATATATATTATATAAGAGTTGAACAGTTGTATATGAATTTGGAGTTTTATGGTCCAAAATCTAATGGCCTAATGATTAAATGATGGCGAATTTGTGGGTTATGGCTGTACGGAAATCTCTATCCCATATTTTATGGCTGAAATCAAAAGTTAATCACTCAAAAATAAACCAAAAGAAAAAAGAAAAAAAAGACACCCCAATTATTTGCTTATTAATTATTTTCAGATATGGTTACTCCAGCGCGCTTCAGGTGCTTGCCTCCACAAAAGAAAAGAAACCCAAAAGAATAAAGAAAAGAAATGAGAAAGGAGAGCAAAGAACTATCATCAAAAGCGTGTGCATGAGTTGTTTCAGAATCCTGAAACGGGTTTGCATTTGATTAAACCTTTTAGTTGTCACAGCCCAAAAATATTGAACCTGATTGGTTAATTTCGAACATATATAATCGACACGTACGTTTCTTTGTGATCCATGAATTTGTGGATTTCATTTGAACAAGTGGTGATGAGGTCAACCGTTAATTTTTATTATTATTATTTTTAAGGGACAAGAATATCATCAACTCTATTTATTTATTTATTTGGTTACATCATTAACATATACAGTACTATTTTTAGTTCAAACAAACCCTAAACCATACACAAGAGCTATGGCCACTGGCGTCACCACAGTGGATTGCCAGAGACAAGTTCGATCATGGAGAATGCTACGTTCTCTCATGCAACTACTAATCCCCACTTGCAACTGTGCCACTAATATTATAGAAGACCAAGATGAAATATCAAACAAGTGCCTTCAAAATTCTAAGTATTCTTCACTCATCTTGAACTCCACCACCATTACAGGCACTATATTTGGATATCGCAAAGGAAAGGTTAGTTTTTGTATTCAGGAAAACCCCAACTCCACCAACCCAATTCTCCTCCTAGAACTAGCAGTTCCAACAAGCATTTTAGCTAAGGAAATGAGAGGAGGAACGTTAAGAATCATGCTAGAGAGTAGTGGCAACAACACAGGATATTGCAGCACCCTTTTGTTCACTCCTCTTTGGACTATGTACTGTAATGGTAAAAAGGTAGGGTATGCTGTTAAGAGAAGGCCCTCCAACACTGATTTTGAAGCGCTAAACTTGATGCGTTCTGTTGTTGTGGGCACTGGCGTAATGAACTGTAAGGATTTTGGTAATCAAGAAGATGATCAACTTATGTATCTTAGAGCAAACTTTCAAAGGGTTCGTGGCTCATCTCATTGTGAATCTTTCCATTTGATTGATCCAGAAGGAGACATCGATCAAGAGCTTAGTATATTCTTTTTCAGGTCAATGTAACCTCCTTTTTTTTAACCCTTCTCTTCCCTTTGTTTTTTTGAGCCGTGCTTGATTATTATATATGGTCAACCAGAATAGCATGCATGGCTTTATCCTTTGAACTCTTTCATTTCTTTTTTCTTGTAGTTGTGTTAGTAGGAAATCATGACCAGACTGATAATTTCGGAGAATGTTAAGCCGATAGGCTTTTTTTTTTTTTTAATTTTTATGAATATTATTAACTACTTGAAGTTACTTTTGTTCACTTCCGTTTTGCATAATAAAATGAAGGAGGAGTGTTTGTCTAAAATCTGAATATATAATGCATAGATTTTAATTCTTTTGGCCATAATTATTTGAAGGTAATCACCAATGCAATCCTCGTGCTCTTGATCATGAGTTTTTCCATTCTATTTTTCCCGTGCGTGGAAGCAAAATATAAATTAATTACTTTGTGCTATAATTACCTTGTATAATTAAGGATCGGTATATGTATCCCCTTTAAGCCTGAGCTAACTTTTTAATAGCTGATTTTTAGCTCAGAAGCTATCATATTCTTCTTTTTGAAACACAAGTTATTACTACGTGAACCAAAAGTTAGAAATGTCTCATGTGACTCATGGGTAAAAGGATAAATGGATATAACTTAATGATTGCTGAATGGTAATTTTAATATGCCTTTGGGAAGTTTCATTAACCGGTTTTATAATGCTTATGGATGATGGTTTTAAAGTTTAAAAAAACTTCACTTTGGTCAGTCTCTGCCCGGAATAGATTGATAAACCAAAAACTAAGCTAAGAGATTGATAAAGTTTGAAAAATCAAGAAGGTTTTGTAGATGACACAAATTTTATGTGTACACCAAAAATTAAATAAAATTATAGGTGCTAACATTAAGTCCAAACAGAAAGACAGGCACAACTTCCATTTCATGATAAATTAAATATTGTAAGTTCTGTGTCAACCCTTTCATGCCCAAGAAATGTCTATATATATTAATCAACTCTAATTTCAAAGTTCATATTTGGAAAGTTAGAACACTGGGCATCGTTTTAGAGCAATAAATTGAACACAATAATGAATATCCTATGTTCCACATATGCAGGGATCCAAAAGCTTTTTTACACGTAAATGACAGCTCATAATATTCTCCATGTTACCATTATTGCATAAAAGCAATCTTCGAGAAATTGTATGCATGTTTACAGCTTTAGCAATTCATATTTAAAACTGAAGCCGAAAAGAGTAGAACCCAAGTTTGGAGACAAGTATGATTAATTTATATAATATTTCTATTGTGATTATTAATCTTAAAAGATGTTGATTTAATTTGGAAGGAGATATTGAGAGGTAAGGTGAGTGGAAATATTCTGTAAGAAGCTTTTGTGGGGCATTTTCCTTCTTGAAAATCGGTATCTAATTCTATGAGTTGTTTCTGATTCATTATGTCGTTTGATTGGAAATTACAAATTAGACACACCAGTCACACCACTAGGCCCGTAGAACGATAGTACAGCATTTTAATTAGATGTAATTTTTCACTTCATCATTCCCTGTCTCTAATGTTTCACCAAATCCATAATCGAAAATACCAATAAACAACTATTTCTTTTTAGTTTATTTTGATCAAATGTTAATGTAAAGCTCTTTTAATATTTGGATTATACTGTATGGAGTTCACAGGATGCAATATAAGAATGATGATAAATATTATAGGAAAAAATTCAAAAAACCCCAATGATTTTGCTTATAACTCTTATCCTTTATGTTTATTTTTAACTCACTTATACTCCCTATGATTTTTTTCAAAGGCACTCCACGGGATGCAATATAAGAATGACGATAAATATTATAGGAAAAAGTTCAAAACCCCTATGACTCTTATCCTTTATGTTTATTTTTAACTCACCTATATACTCCCTATGATTTTTTTAACCAAATCAATTCTTAACACAGTTAAAAACTTAATTAATCCTTCCATTTTATTCTTCTTAGAAGTACAGAAAAGATGGATGACAAAAAAAGAAAAAAAAAATAAGACCAAATATGTTAGATATTTATAATATTTAAAATAAAAGTAAAAAAAAAAAGATTATTTAAATCAAAAAGAAGAAAATAGATTAAGGAGAAAAAAATGAAAAAATAACAAGTGACAAAAAAGACTAAAATATTTAAAAATAATTTAAACCAAAAAAAAGGAAATAGACTGAAGACAAAAATAAAATAGAAGAAAAAATAAGATACCTCGTCTTATTTCATCTTCTATTTATGAGAGTTCTTATATAGACATATTTTGTGTTGTATAAAATAGATACCAAATATGAGTGTTGTAAATTTTCAATATATTTCGTCTTATTTTTTTTATTTGTTTTTCCTCAGTTTGTTTTCTTCTATTTTTATTTAGACATATTCGGTTTTATATTTTATTTTATCTTTTTTGTCTTTAGTCTATTTTCTTTTTTTATTTAGATTAGTTTCATTTTTTTTTTTACTTTTAATCTTTTCTATTACAGTTTAAAGTTTCCATCATATTTGGTATTATTTTTTATTTTTTTTGTCCTCGGTCTATTTTTTTCTTTTTGATTTAAACATATTTGATCTTTTTTCTTCTTCTATTTTTAATCTTATTTTTTCTTTTTTTGTAGTTAGTTTACTTTTGTTCTTCTAAGAAGGATAAAATAAGCAGAATAATTTACTTTGTAATGATGTTAAAGATAAGTTTGGATGAAAAAAAACCATATGGGGTAAGTGATTCAAAAAAAAAAAAAAAACATAAGGGGGTAAGTAAATCAAAACAAAACCATAGGGGGTTTTGAATTTTCCCCAATTATTTTAAAAATAAAATTACATAATTTATATTAATTAAATTTATATGTTGATTTTTAGCTTCTTCTTTTTCTTTTTTCTTTTTTTAAAGATATCTTGGGATTAATTTTGTATTAGTTAAGATTAATTTTTATTTTTAGATATAATGGTGGAAGTTCGAAGTTATGACCTTATGCAAATTATTTAACGTCTTACCATTGATTCCATCCTAATGACTTTTGAGATTAAATTCACCTATAAAGTATTTTAATAATATACTCTTGTATGGATTTAGAGAAAATAATTGGCTCAATTGCTGATTATTCAAAGAAGAATGTATACTGAAATTTCAGTAATGCCAAAATAAAATTTTGTGCGTAAATTACTTATAATTGATTCAATCTGATCTAGCATTTTTTTTTTTCCGGAACTGTTTCTTACAGATAAGACAATGAAAGGTAATAATGATGGCTTATGACTTTCCAGGGGGTTATGCTTAACAAACGTAACTACTTTTCTGTGTTTTAGAATGTTGTTGTCCATACACCATATTCCTAAGGGGTCAAACAAGTACTCAACTAACTGTCTTCAGTGGCATGGTAGTTAGAGGCATGGAATATTTCACATTTTGCTCTCTTTACCTTCTGTTCAAATTTCCAACCATTGAACAACATGCTGCTCTTGTGCCCTTCTCATTCATTTATCTCTTGCTCTGCCACTATTTCAATGCTCTTATGGGAAGAACCAAAGTTTCCACCTTATTCTCTGCTAATAACCATTACACGCTTCCTTATTCCAACACCATAAGCCAAACTCTTGTAAACAAGCAAGATACCAAGGAAAATCGATTCCCCTCTTCAGTCCTAGGATTCTTGTGGCGCCTCATCTATGGAAGTATGTTTCAGCAGCATATCTTTGTTCTATACTTCTTCCATTTTCTCCTCCCTATATATACTTCCCTCTAGCTAGTTAGTATTTAAATTTATAGTGTTTTTTTTTTTTTTGGGTGCTCTACTTGTCTGGGATGAATTGAATTGCAGAGAAAGATGATGGGGGCTCACGAACTGAGGAAGAAGAGAAAGTCTACTCTTGGTTATACACCTTGGCCCAGTCTGAGAAAAACTTGGTCTTCGAGTACGTTGGGTCCACTGAAAGAGGCAAGTGTAATTGCATATTCATATTGAAATTTGTGGATAGAAAATGTGTCCTGAATGCATGTTTTGTAAGTTTGTAACCATTCCCATCATTTTGTAAAAAGGAAAAAAAAAAAAAAAAAAAAGTATCTAAACCATGGAGATATAAGCGAAACAACATGAAAACGCTGGGAGTGTATTAGGGGTGAGGGGTTTTGATAAATAAAAAGGCATTCAAAGCATGGTCATTGTAAAATTTTCTTGTTTATTTCCAATCATATTTACAATTGCAGAGCCATAAAATTTTATGAGAAGGGATGAAGGTAAAAAAATTTACAATAATTTAGATAGGATAACACGATAGTGGATTAGTTCATTGTCAAGTTTGAAGAACTCTTCAAGTTTTCTTCGTATCATGAAGAATAATAAAAATGAATACATTTCTCTAATAATGTAATATAAATATTTGCAAAAGCTTGACGGTGGCGATCAGTTGATCACTCCTCCTTATCCTTCCACCACTGCATGTCTGTCTATGTGTTGAGCTATGTACATCTAAACTAGACAGAAGATTCCAGTGTTTTCATTTTCTGGTTAGTAAATTAAACACCACCCTTTAGTTTTTTGCCCCTTCGTATTAAAGGTGTTCTTCAATTCTGTGCAGGCTTAAGTTTCACTGAAGCTGAGAGGAGACTGCGGGAAGATGGCCCAAATGTTCCACTTGAGTATTATTTTCCAAGCTGGTGGCATCTTCTATGGAACGCTCTTTTCCATCCTTTCAATCTCATTGTGATTATTTTATCTGCTCTGTCATTCATTACCAGTGATTATCCAAATGGAAGTATCATGCTCACATTGGTTTTTATCAGTGTCACCCTCCGTTTCTGTCAGGTATTTCTACATTAGTTGGTTGAATTGAATTGAATGAATGAGTATGTCTCTTCCCTTTTCTATAATCTTACACCTTTATTGTGCCTCTTAGGAATACAGCAGCTCAAAAGCAGCAATGAAGCTTTCAGAATTTGTAAGATGCCCAATAAAAGTTCAAAGATGTGCTGGTAGAGTTGTACAGACAGAATTAATAGTTCAAGTTGATCACAGAGATGTAGTTCCCGGTGACATTGTGATTTTTGAACCTGGGGACCTCTTTCCCGGAGATATTAGGTTGTTATCTTCAAAACATCTTGTTGTAAGGTATGTCAACTGGAGAATCTGCTCGTTTTATATATGATAGTGGAGACTTCTATAAGACATTTCCTCCGTCTGTCTTTTCTCTAGCTAACTAATTATCACATGGTGATTTCATGCCTTTTTTAACAGCCAGGCCTCACTAACTGGGGAATCTTGGACAACTGAGAAAACTGCCGATATCAGAGAAGATCACAGCACACCTTTAATAGATTTAAAGAACATCTGCTTTATGGTAACATATAACTCCCTGTCCGTAATTTGTTTTAATAGAAGTTATAGCCTCAGTTTACAAAGTTGCATCTCGTAAAGCCCCAACCAGAGGATTTAAGAGTACATCATGCCAAGAATGATTTGTTGTTAGACTACTAGTATTATGTCATGATTGCTTAGACATCTTTTATTTTTTATTCCTGAAAAATACATGACAACCAGAATTTTTTTATCAGAATGAGTTGTCATTATTATCGACTCTTGGATAGATAAGTGGTTTCTAGCTTGAATTTTGCCAAATTCTAGCTTATTTCTGTCAAAGTTCTTTATGTTGGAGAACACACGAGTGAAGTGGGAAGTCCCACTTGGAGAATTTGGAGGAGGTTGAATGTTTTATAAGCTTGGAAAGGATCAACATCATTGAATTGATTTGTTGGTGAAGTTTAGGGTTTATAAGTTATAATCCATGATTATAGCCCAAACGCAACTCGAAAGCCCAACACTCCTCCAATAACAAGTCCATGCCCAAATGACAAAGTCAATATTTTGTGACTGTGGAGCGTTATTCATTTTTTTCATACTTCATGTTAGTATTGAATCATGAAGTTTATTTTCCTGGCTTTTTGACCATTGTAGCCCTTATGTAATAATTAATTACTAAATTGGCCTTGATTATAAACTATTTCAAAAATTTAACCTCTCCAGAAAACATAACACTAATATGTCCATGATTGACCGTTGACCACCAAGCCTACCCGGGTATCACCCTCCCTACCCGGGTATATTTTGAAATTTTTTACCTACCCGGGTAGAAAGGGGAATACCCGGGTATATTTTTTGAATCTGGGAAAATGTTTGAATTTTTCACCTACCCGTATGGGTTCTGATTCTATTGCTCAAACATTTTTCCAAATTCAAGAAATATACCCGGATATCTTCCTCCCTACTCGGGTAGGTAAAAAATTTCAAAATATACCCGGGTATGCTTGGTGGTCAACGGTCAAACATGGGCAGATTGGTGTTATGTTTTCTGAAGAGGTTAAATTTTTGAAATAGTTTATAATTAAGGTCAATTTGGTAATTAATTATTACATAAGGGCTACAATGGTCAAAAAGCCTTATTTTCCTCCCTAGGAAAAAAGTAAGCTTAACACTGCCATACGGATATTTAAATCTTTAAAGGAGTATGTGATTGTGGTTTAGCTATAAAAAACATTGAAAGCATTGGAATTCAGTCTGAATCCTTCTTCAGGACAGAAACTGCTTATTGTTTAGCTATAAAATTTTTAACTGCATTGGAACTCAGTCTGGATGCTTTTGCAGGACAGAAACTGCAGAACAAATTGATAATGAAGAGGTTAAGGATGAAAACTCTATACTATTAGAACACTAGAATCCAGTGTTTATAAACCCGGACCTGCCCGGCCGGGTCGATTCGAAAATCGATAAACCAATCATATAACCGGTGCAACTTAGTCGATCTTGGTGAAAATCGATGACCCGACCCAGTTCTTAAAAACAAAGAAAACTGTTTCCAAAAGAAAATTCATAAATGATATCATTTTTAAAATTCACAAATGGTTTATTTTCTTTTGAAATATTTGAGTGATTTGTTGCTTGTTAACTTACATAGGTTATCTACCTACAACACTAATATTATCTTGTTTATGCACTACGTAAGGAATTTTGATTTAATTTATAGCTAGAGATGTCTTCTAGTGAACCTGAAGCACCAATATCACAAGTATTATATGTTTGTTTGATCCTTTGTTGGATAATGATGTGTGATTTATTATTTTTTATATTAATTTTTTTGAAATTGGTATTTTTTTTTACAGGTATTTGAGTATGTTTATAGTTTTTTTAATATAAATTATAGATTTATATATACTTACCAAGTCATGCAATTGAACCAGTAACTCCGTACTTCAACCGGATCAATAACCAGATCGGGTTTAATATCATTGTTAGAATCTGCTTGAGGCTAAAGAGACTCTTTTTCGAGTTTAGATGTATACATAGCACATCATACTTCTCTTTTGTTCGGCTAAAAGGGGTTTAATATCTCATAATCAATGACGAGGCATGGAGTATCATTGAATCTGTATATCAAAACAAAGCAACTAAATTGTTTTGATGATAGATGGAAACAAGGAACACCATATTAATCTTGAAATAGGGGTCCAAATAATGTCTCTCTACCTGAGGTTCCATTCTTTCCTAAATTAAATTATTCTTTTCTAAGAGCTGTATGAGTATTTCCATGACATGACTAGCAGTAGAACTAGAAAGTAGAAATTTCTTTCTCTTCTGACAAAGATAATTTATACTGAACATTATACTGAACATTATACAACCACAAGTAGGTTATCTTGTTCTACTGATATCGAAAGTACTTTATATCTTGGATCTTTCTCTTTGCATTAAGAAACCCAAATCACAGTAATACACTAATATTACTGTAATTAACTCATGAGGATCCAAATCCGTGTCTCAGATCATTATTTACTTACTTTAAAACTTTGTAGTTTCCTATATCTTTTAAGATATTGCGGCCTTCAAAATATTAAATTTCCAAACAGAGTTTGTCAGCTTATCAGCTTATTGATGGAGAATTTTTCTGAGAAGTGACTGGTTATGAACAATGCAGGGCACAAACGTGGTATCAGGTACAGGAACAGGCTTAGTTGTTTCAACTGGATCTAATACTTACATGAGCACCATGTTTTCAAAAGTTGGAAAGAGGAAGCCACCAGATGACTTTGAAAGGGGTCTCAGATGGATATTTTACTTGCTTATTTCAGTTATGCTAGTAGTAGTTACAATTATGTTTGTGACAGATTACATGACATCTCTTAATTTGAGCAACAGTGTTCTTTTTGCAATCTCAGTTGCATCTGCCCTCAATCCTCAGATGCTTCCCCTCATTATTAACACTTGCCTTGCAAAAGGAGCACTTGCTATGGCTAAAGACAGATGTATAGTCAAAAGTTTAACAGCTATACGCGAAATGGGATCAATGTAAGTATAAATTCACATTAAAAATCAACTGATTGATGATCTGAGCATTAAACTCATGCAATTTGCACAGATTTGAACCAACCTATCTAAAAATACAAATTCAAGTTTCCATCCTGACCCAGCAACCCCTTTCCCTGTCCCTACCATCAAATGTCAAAGAAAGAATAAAGGGAAATTGAAAACTACAATTCATGATAAGACTAGCATTCATTCTAATTTTTGTCGATTAAGCTCAATCTATCATGACAGAAATATAGAAATCATATATTAGAAACATAATGAATAAAAAAAAACTTGGAGTACTAGTCATTACAATTTTTGAGAGACACTGCATGCCACATGAAAAGGGCTAGTTAATTTCTTAGAACAAATAGAGAAACCAATAATTAGCTCTTTCTCTCTGCATTATCATGATGCTTGGGTCTAAACTGTGTTCTAACTTCTCATCGAATGCCCTAAAATATGAGTGGTGCTAAACTTCTAGGCTGTAAATAATTGAATCTTCCCCTAAGCCCCCAAAAGAACACAGAAATGCACACCAAAGTGAGAAGAAAAGGATTAAACAGCATCACTACCAATAGATGAAAACATAAGGCCCAGAAAGATTGCTAGGAATATTACATTAAGAGGTTTATTTTGTTTTAATTTAACAAATTCTTTTACTATGTACTTATATTTTTTAATGTTGCAGGGATATCCTTTGTATTGACAAGACAGGCACCCTTACAATGAATCGTGCAATCATGGTTAATCATCTTGACTGCAGGGGTTTACCTCAAGAAAAAGTTCTACGCTATGCCTTCCTCAATTCTTACTTTAAGACTGATCAGAAGTATCCTCTGGATGATGCTATTTTGGCATATGTATATACAAATGAATTCAGGTTTCAGCCATCCAAGTGGAGGAAGATAGATGAGATTCCTTTTGACTTCATAAGAAGAAGAGTATCTGTCATCATGGAAACAGAAGACATACGCTCGCAGTTCTTTGGCAGGTTCCTGGTGACAAAAGGAGCACTGTTGGAAGTCATGAGAGTTTGTTCTTTTATTGAAAATTTTGATAAAGATGAAATTTCCACCTTCTCTTCGGATGACTATCAAAGAATCTTAAACCTGTCAGAAGAATTGAGCACTGAAGGGTTAAGGGTTATAGCAGTAGCTATAAGGAAGCTGGAAATGGTGCGCCTTTCTTTGCTCCCTGTTTTAAATGTAAACAGTTTCTCCTTTCTAGATACTTGTCCCATTCCCTTCTTCTTCTGACCTTCTAATTTTTTACTTCTTTCTTTCTTTTCATGCCAATGACTATGATTTTGCATCTAGATAGCTTAATAGAATTAGGATCACTTTTCTGTCTTCTTTAAATTTCTCTCTCCTCATACACAATATAAGTTTACTAAAAAGTCCACATAAGAGAAGAGGGTGTACCTCACTGGCTGTGCCTGGCTCACTTACAATTTCAATTTATATGTGATATTACAGGAGCAAACATGCAAAACAAGTAATGGAAGCAAGAGATTTAACGGGGATTTGGAAAGAGACATGATATTCCTGGGCCTAATAACGTTTTTTGATCCACCCAAGGATTCAGCAAAGCAAGCTTTGTGGCGTTTGGCTGAGAAGGGAGTGAAGGCAAAGGTTTTGACAGGTGATTCGCTCTCCTTGACAACAAGGGTGTGCAGGGAAGTTGGCATAAGGACCACTCATGTAATAACGGGGCCTGAGCTAGAGCAACTTGACCAAGACACTTTCCATGAGACTGTTAAAAGAGCTACGGTGCTAGCTCGTCTCACCCCAACTCAGAAACTCCGAGTGGTGCAATCCTTGCAGACAATTGGAAACCACATTGTTGGGTTCTTGGGAGATGGAGTAAATGATTCACTGGCTCTGGATGCTGCTCATGTAAGCATTTCAGTGGACTCAGGGGTAGCCATTGCCAAAGACATGGCAGATATTATCTTACTTGAGAAAGATCTCAACGTGCTTGTTGCAGGAGTCGAGCATGGTAGACTCACCTTTGGCAACACAATGAAGTATGTAAAGATGTCAGTTATTGCTAACTTGGGAAGTGTCATTTCACTCCTCATAGCAACACTGATCTTCAAGTATGAGCCCTTGACTTCTAGACAGCTTCTTATTCAGAATTTCCTGTACAGTGTGGGACAAATAGCCATCCCTTGGGACAAGATGGATGAAGAGTATGTGAAGACTCCTCAGAAGTGGTCAGAGAGAGGCTTGCCCATGTTCATATTGTGGAATGGCCCAGTGTGCACTCTCTGTGATGTGACAGCACTTTTGTTTCTTTGGTTTTATTACAAGGCTTATTCTGATGTAGATGAGAAATTTTTCCATTCAGCTTGGTTCATTGAAGGTCTCCTCATGCAGACCCTCATTATCCACTTGATGAGGACAGAGAAAATCCCTTTCATACAGGACATTGCCTCTTGGCCTGTGATTTCCTCTACTCTTGTGATATCTGCAATTGGAATTGCATTTACATTTTCACCAATCGGGAAGGTCATGGAATTCACCCTTCTACCCCCCTCATATTTTGGATTTTTAATTGTTCTTTTTCTGGGATATTTTACATTTGGCCAGGTGATTAAGAAACTTTACATAATGGTTTATAAGAGGTGGCTTTGAATATCAAACTTTCATCCCAGTTTTGTTTGCAAGAGATGCTGTAATGAAATTGATATTATTCAGAAACTTTTTGTTTTGCTAGATGAGAGTATACATAATAAGGCAGAGTGACACATCCAACATTGTTGCACTTGCACCCTATAATTTCCAAAACAATAGGAATAGCGAAATTGGGGAAAAAAATATCCAGGAAATAGCTGCATTAAACAGTAGAAAGGAATACCTGACTATGAGTTGTATATTTTCCCTTGCCTCATTAATAAAAGCAGTTTAGAAGAGATAGTAGAACTGCAATCCTGTTGGCCTGATAAAGTTCCAAAGGATCTGCATTGTCAAATCTTTAATAGATTATTGCATAAGCTGTTTTGAAGTATTTCGGATCAATTTGGTAGCCATGCTTGTAATATAAAATTAAAACAATGATCGGAAATGTGGCAGCAGGATGCAATTTAAGACAATGATAAGCAATCATATAACAGTCAAGAATATAGGAAATGGTAAATTATTTTAAAGGCAATTAGAAGTTGAATGATACTTCTAAATATAAATGAGAACACTACTGGGTGGCCATCCTCATGATAGACAAAGTTAGTGTTTCAATCATTTAAAAAAATATTTGTTTGAACAAAATAGAAAACTAGATAATTCGGAATAGAGAAAGCAAGGGCAGTTTATAGCTACATGGTAGAAGGCTTCATTTTCATCATTAACATTACAAAGCAAAACATATTACAAACAAACAGGTATAGTTCATACCAACTCAAAACATGGAACATCATCCATTTGTAACTACAACAGATAAAGGAAAGTTGGTTTGGACCAGAAAATATACAATTAACAATTTTAACTTGTAAATATGTAGAAAGTCTCGGTATCTAATACTCCTTGAGAAATTTCTTTATTACTTCAAGCTTTTCCTTCAGAAAGTCAAATTTAGTTTTGGGAACAACTTGAGCTACGATATTTGCAAGCTTGGCATCATCAAGTTTCTCTGCTTATCTGTTTTATACTTCATATTGATGTGCTTAATTCTTCCATATTGGCTACGATTTTTAGCTATTGCAATGACGGATTCCATTTCTACATAAATCACATTTATCTTCATCTTGTTTTTACCGTCACACCAGAACGATAGAATCTTCCTCAACAAAATGATATACTCAGTTTTAGCTGAGGATTTGGCCATCACTCTTTCGTATTGTTGAATTCCTAGAGAAAATTACGCTACCAAATGAAAATATATAAAAAAAAAAAAAAAAAAAATGTACCTGGCATTACTCTTAAGATAACCATGAATCATGAATGCAATGTCCATTAACTGTCTGCGAGGAATAGATAAAATCCCCATTAAGAGGATTTTTCGCCGGCAACGAGGCAAGTAGGGTTCCTAAAAACCTGATGGAAATTCAAGGCAGATTCCCATGCTCGTAGGGGATTGATGTTCAGTTGGACTCGGGTTTATTTATAACCCTTTCTTATTTTCACAACTAAGTTACTAACTCACTGCGAATCAATCTCACTGTTATATCGATTATGTTGATTCAATAGTTATATTTATTTTCATCTTTGTATGTTCATGATTTCCCAAATTTAATACTTTATATTTATTTTCACCTTTGTATGCTTATGATTTTCCATATTTAATGTTTTCACTTTGAATATGGGGAATCATGACCATACAAAGATGGAAATAAATCATAACCATACAAATGTGAAAATAAAATATAAAATATTAAATTTGAGAAATCATGATCATACAAAGATGAAAATAAATATAACTGTTGGATCAACATAATCGATGTAACGGTAAAATTGATTGGTAGTCACTTGGTAATAACACAACTTAGTTGTCACAATATCCTTCCCATTTCTTTTATTTAATAATTTTACTTTGGATTAAAATTTTGAAATTCTATTTATATTTTATTTTTTTGTAATTGACACTTATAATGGAATATAATAATAAACTTGTTAGACATAATCTTATATTGGAATTAATCATTATCTCTTGATTTTCTCCCTAACATTTCTTCTTTTCTCCGTTGTGTGATTACTCCATACACACCACCTCGCATATGTTGAGAACGTGGTGTATCAGAAATGATGTGAGACCAGTTAATTTGTGGACTAATAAGGCTCCGTGCATACGACCTCATATTTTTGTAAGGTAAATAAATCAGAATGTGGGGTGCAGAGAATAACGAGACAAACTACATAGATGCGAAGTGATGTATAAGATTAAAATTATTATTTATAGATTTTTCACAAAAAAATTACTTTATAGAAAGCTACCTTATATACTCACTTTAGTATAAATGAGACCAGCATAATACAATAGCAAATCACTCCGATTTTGGCCTAGGTTCGTTGGACATGACATGACCGAAGACGGATACCTGAGGATTAATTGCGACAGAGCAACCAAGAAAACATGCGTCGGAGTAAAAAGAAATTATCCGAGGGACCAAAAGTTAATATATTTTTTGATTGATGATTTTATTGAGGAAATAAATTCAAGTATTCAACTTTGGAATCATTACAAATGAAAATAATATTAACTAACTTAATTGGTAGAGACGAGTGAGTCAAGTCAAATACTAGTTGAAATTTATTGCAAATTTTCACTTTAATATCTCGAGAAAAAAATTTGGGACTACCTACCTCGCAACTTCCTTTCATTGGTTCAGCAGTCACAAGAACTTGAAATTAGCTACTCTGGCTAGCCAGTGGACAATCATGTCATCGTCGATCTCTATCCTCTCCTTTTGACTGTCTCTAATTACTATAGCCAATAGGATATTTATTCATGGGAATACAAATCTCATATTACAGAATATTTGTTATCTCGTGTTATAGATATAAAGTATATTTTTTAAAAATAAATAAATATTAACATAAATTTTGATATATAAATATGAGAAATATATTATATCATATAATATGAAAAAAATATACTCCTCTAGTTATATAGAAAAAAGTATATTTATACTATAATAACTTTTGAACGCGTGAGTGTGGGGTGGGGTTGCCTTGTTTGTTTAGCCAACCACTCTATTTTGAACCTTTTTCAGAGTTGATGAGAAAAATGTATGAAGGAAATAAACCAAAAAAGGTCCTACCGGGAGTCGAACCCAGGTCGCTGGATTCAAAGTCCAGAGTGCTAACCACTACACCATAGAACCATTTGCCCTTTATATTTCATGGCTTATAAAAGTACCGGTTAGTTCAGAAGTTGTCCCACAATCATGAGTCTGAAGCAGGCAAAAACTGAAATAAGTTGAGGCTGTGAGCCACATTGCTGTTGAAGTTGAGTGCAAGTGTAGGAAGCAAATGAACATTTTCACTCAAACACTACATTTATTTAATTATTTTCTTCCTTATAATTTAATGATCCTGCATCCTGCTGTTTAAAAGTCGAATGAAACTTTCGGATCTAACTTTTTATAGCAGTAAAAATGTAAAATCAACAAAATGTTTATCTCCTTTAGCCATTTTTGGGAACAAAAAGAAAACGTCAGAAGAGAAAGAGTTAAGAATAATATTATAGTCAGAAAAAACAATAAAGTAAAATATGTCTAATTAAAATCAAAATACATACTTTTCTTACGACTAAACTCCATATTCAATAACACCTTGCTACCCCTGCAACATTCTTGAAGAAAACATGGATCACATGAAATCCAATTGTTTTCAATGGTTCCTCCTCTAAAATGGAGGAGGTTCTTACAAAAGAAATAAAAAATAAAACCTTAGCCCTTCACTTAAAAATATATAATCTAGTGAAAAATATTTGTCCTTTCAAAGGACAAAGAATTGTGTCATTTTAAGTGAAAGAAAAACACAAATTAATATCTTTTTATTTAAAATTTAAATTAAAAAAACACTCATTTTCTCTCCCATAATTTTCATTATTTATGTCTTTCTCTCACTTCAAATAACACATGTCCTTTAAAATACAACCATCAAACCCATAATTCTACCAAACAAATAGGGCTCCTATTTTGAGGAATGTTTGGAGTTTCTTCAAAGGGAAATTATGTGGGATCCACCAGTAAATTTGAGAAAGAAACGAATAAAATACCGAGGAAGCAGTGGGGATCATAATCCATTCGTAAAAATGTTTCATATAAGTTTGAAGCAGGATTAAACAAAAAATGGGGTTGCGAGATGAACATATATAGAATATAAGAGAATAATAATTATATATCACGGCAAGCTCAAGTAGGGGAAAAAAAAACACATGGGGTGAAATAACACAACCTTCTATGTATAGTTATATATTGTTGAGATATATATTCCCACATTAGTTGTATGTGCAACTAATGTGAAGTTTATAAGGCCTTGGACACTCCCACTCTTTGAGCTAGCTTTTGGGGTGGTGTATCCCAATGTTCTTTACATAGAACTCGGTGTTGGAGGCTGTTTGTGAAGGTGTGCCAATTGTTAAATAACGAGAGAGAAGAAAGGAACATTTGAAATAAACTGTATGTATATATTGATATGATGAAGAATGTACAATATATAGACACTCTAATGGGCTAAGCCCAAACCTAATACAAAAGAAATAAGGAAACCCTAATTACATAAGAAATAAGGAAACCCCAATTACAATATATTTCTAACACTCCTCCTCTAGCTGGAGTGTATAGGTCATATGCACCAAGCTTGTTACATATAAACTCTATTCGAGGGCCCCTCAAAGATTTTGTAAACACATCTGCTAATTGCTCATTAGAGGGTACAAAGCTAGTTTTAATTTCACCAACAAGAACCTTTTCTCGAACAAAGTGGCAATCTATTTCTATATGCTTGGTTCTTTCATGAAACACTGGATTTGATGAAATGTGTAGAGCTACTTGATTATCACAAATGAGAGTTGTCTGTCCAGTGTCTCCAAACTTAAGTTCTCTGAGAAGTTGTTTAAGCCAGATGAGCTCGCAAGTAGTAGTCGCCATGCCAGCACCTGATCTGGCAACTACGCTTTGTTTCTTACTTTTCCAGAAAATCAAGTTGCCTCCAACAAAGACACAATACCCAAAAGTAGATCTCCTATCAGTTGGACAACCAGCCCAATCAGCATCACAATACCCAACCACTTTATCATGACCTTTATCTTCATATTCAAGGCCTTTCCCTGGAGATGCCTTGATATACTTAAGAATACGAATGACCGCATTCCAATGTTCTTGACATGTAGAATTGAGAAATTGACTGACAACACTAACTGCAAAGGAAATATCAGGCCGAGTGACTGTGAGGTAGTTCAATTTTCCAACCAATCTTCTATACTTCTCAGGATCTGAAAAGGGCTCCCCTGATTTGGTAGAAGCTTGATACTTGGATCCGTAGGAGTATCAACAGACTTTGAATTTAACAGAGCAGTTTTTTCAAGAATATCCAAAACATATTTCCTCTGAGATATCACAATACCAGCTTTAGATTGGGCCACCTCGATTCCTAAGAAGTATCAAAGTTTTCCAAGATCCTTAGTCTGAAAATGACGACATAAGTGTTGTTTCAATCAAGTGATCCCATGCTGATCATTGCCTGTGATGACAATATCATCCACATATACCACCAGATAAATAGATCCAGAAGCAGAATGACGATAAAAGAGAGAATGATCAGCTACACTCCGAGTCATGCCAAATTGTTGAACAACACTGCCAAATTTACCAAACCAAGCTATTGGAGATTGTTTGAGGCCATAGAGAGACTTACGAAGACGACAAACAAGGCCTGACTCCCCCTGAGTAACAAATCCAGGAGGTTGCTCCATATAAATTTCTTCCTCAAGATCACCATGAAGAAAAGCATTCTTGATATCCAGTTGGTAGAGAGGCCAATGGCTAATAGCAGCCATGGCAATAAAAAGGCGAACAGTAGACATTTTCGTCACAGGAGAAAAAGTATCAATAAAATCCAAGCCAAAGACCTGAGTGAAACCCTTCGCCACCAAGCGAGCTTTAAGACGATCCACTTGACCATCAGGTCCAACCTTAACAGCATAAATCCATCTGCAACCAACCACAGATTTTCCAGAAGGAAGAGGCAGCAGGTCCCATGTGCCATTATGATGAAGAGCACTCATTTTATCAATCATAGCTTGTCTCCATCCCGAATGTGAAAGTGCATCACATATGGTCTTAGGAACAGATATAGAGGACAAAGAGGAAAGGCAAGCAAAATATGATGGAGAAAGACGATAATAACTAATATTGACTGTATACCTGGCCGGAGGGCGAGTATCGCGAGTACCCTTACGAAGAGCAATGGGAAGGTCACTATCCGAAGGTGGGACCAAAGCTGTGGGAGGAGATGCAGTTGAATGTGAGTCCACAGATACATCTAACGAACTATGCTCGATCTCATCAGCAGAAGAGGTAATAGAAGGAGAGTCAGCAACATGGACGGGTAAAGACGGAAGGTAAAGAAGGTCACTTGGGAAGGACGACTGTACAGAATCAGTATCCACAGGAGTAGTAAAGGATTCAAAAAAGGGAACTGATTCAAAAAAGGAGACATCCGCCGAGATAAAGTATCGACATAAAGTGGAAGAGTAGCAACGATAACCCTTATGAGACCGAGGATAACCCAGAAAAACACATTTATGGGACTTGGGAGCTAATTTATCCAAACCTGGACCAAGATGATGAACAAAACACGTAGAACCAAACACATGTGGAGTTAAAGGATATATAAAGCTTGATGGGGAAATAAAATAGAGTGAAGTACCTTATGATTGAGAACACATGATGGCATGCGATTAATGAGATAACATGCAGTAAGTATAGCATCACCCCAGAATGTGTATGGAACATTACCATCAATTAACAAGGCACGAGTGGTTTCAACCAGATGGCGATTCTTGCGCTCGGCTACACCATTTTGTTGAGGTGTATGAGGGCAAGATGTTTGATGAAGAATGCCATGAGATGAAAAGAATTGTTGAAATTGATGAGATAAGTACTCACATGCATTATCACTACGAAAAGTACGAATAGGAATACCAAATTGAGTTTTTATTTCATTATAAAATAACTGAAAAATAGAAAACAACTCAGACCTCTTTTTCATTAAAAATAACCAAGTACATCTGGAATAATCATCAATAAAAGTAACAAAGTACTTAAAACCCAAAGTAGAAGAATGACGACTTGATCCCCAAACATCAGAGTGGACCACAGAAAAAGGAGAAACAGCTTGACGACTAAGACGACTCAGAAACGTACTACGAGTATGTTTCCCAAACTGACAAGACTCACAATTTAAAGTAAAAAGAGATGATAAATGGGGAACCATCTTCTGAAGCTTTGCAAGACTAGGATGGCCCAAACGAGCATGGATAGTAAGAGGAGAATCCACAGTGGAGCAGGCTGAAGAAGAGGGAACTAGTTGATAGAGGCCCTGAGACTCACATCCTTAGTAATCTCCTTCCCCGATCTCCGATCCTGAAAGATGACAGAGGTTTTAGTAAAAGAAACAACACAGTCAATGGATTTGGTCAACCAACTAACAGAAAGTAAGTTAAAAGGAGAATCGGGAACATATAGAACATGATCCAGAGATAAATTAGGTAAAAGAAGAACCGTGCCAACCCCCCTTGATTGGACCAGAGACCCATTAGCCATAGTAATAGTGGGAAAAGAACCTGTAGTACAAAGGGAAGTGAATAAGGACTTATTACCAGAAATGTGATCAGAAGCCCTAGAATCTAGAGTCCAAGGGCCAATAGAGTGCAACTGAGATATGCAGCAAAAGAATTACCATAATTACCAGTGGGAGGAATGGATGCAGTAGGACCTGATGTTTGCTTCTCAGACCACCAAGTCACAAATGCTTTTGCCTTACTCCAAATAGCTTCACAAGTAACAGCAGGTCAAAAAACCTGCTTGATAGACGGATGAAGAGTAGCTTTACTGAGGCTACACAGCTGAGCATCAATCATTTTCCACCGTGTGTGCTCCTTTTCCGCCACAGATTTAGCCTTAGTGGTGAGATGGGATGTATAATTCTGCCCATCCAACCAAAGTCGCAGATCGGAAGACCAAGTATCATAGTTGGAACCATCCAATTTATCCACACTCAACGGAGCAAGGATATAATTTGAAAAAATAGCAAAGTCCGACTTTTTCTCAGCCGGAGTACCAGAGTCATTGGAGACAGGAGGGTCCATAATTAAGAGAAAAAAATAATCAAAAAAGGACAGATCACACAACTAACCGGTAAAAGAGGGATCTGACGTCAACACAAAACGAAGTCCAAACACAGAACCAGGACCAGATCTAGAACCGTCACAGGGAGACGAAGAGAACGCAACTAACCGCGGCCGGAGAGGAGGTCCCATGCGCCGCCACGCGCCGCCTTGGTGGAGGAGAAGACCGGATCTTGCGCGTGAGGGCGCGTGAGAGGTCCGTTGAGGGTGTGGCCGGTTCCGTTGAGTTCGTGCTTCCAAGACGAGCACGTCGGTATACAGTTCGCCGAAAAACGCCACCGGACGGTGGTGGTTGACGTAGACAGAAGCTTTAAACGCGGAAGAAAACGTACTGGAAACTGACAGCACGACAGTTCCGGAAAAAAATAAAATTAAAAGACGATGAACAGTGGATTCAGCGGAAAAAAAAAATTTAAAGTTCCTTAGGCTCTTGATATCATGTTAAATAACGAGAGAGAAGAGAGGAACATTTGAAATAAACTGTATGTATATATTGATATGATGAAGAATGTACAATATATAGACACTCTAATGAGCTAAGCCCAAACCTAATACAAAAGAAATAAGGAAACCCTAATCACATAAGAAATAAGGAAATCCTAATTACAATATAAACTTCACATTAGTTGCACATACAATCAATGTGAGAATATATATCTCAACATTATGGAGAATAAAGACTTATTCAAGTGATTTCACTCAAAAAAAAAAATCTCATCTAATGATAATAATAATCTATCCTAGGTTCACAGACTAGGAAAATAGGGATACAAATTACAAAGAACAATACACCTGTAAAACTTGCTCACTTTTATACAACTAAATAAAATGTAAAAAGTCAGATCAATCTTGGCAATCAACAATGATAACGCCGATGTCCTAGATAATTAAATTTATTAAGTTCATAGCAAGTAGCAATGGCTCTCATGATTCTCCCCATCATTTAACAAATGTTCAATATAACTAAATTAGGAAGGAAAACGAAATTTAAATAAAACATAATCCTAGATTTAATGTGGGACTTGTTCAGATCCTATTATATCCACCTGCATCTTTCAATATCTATATTCAATTTCAGATTTTTCAGCTCCAGCCAGAATTCTCCTACGCCTGATGATTCACCATCTTTTTCCCACACAGAAACATAGCATTGCTTTCTTTTTCAAGCATAAACAAGCTGTATGTGAAGTCAGAAGCACGTAAATGTATGAATCGACTTTTGACCCCAAGATCGCTCATCTCTTGGCTGTTGAGATCATATGAATGCAATGACTTTATTTTTCTACATGAATTATCAACACATGAAAGCAGTACTAAAACTTCAGAACTCATGCTCTGTCCCAATAGCTTTCTAATATTTCCCCTAGATAAAGAAAGACTGTAAATTTTGCTCCATGACTCCTCTCTCTTCATCCATATATTAGTATTATCTCTAGGCTGTTGAGGGTACTCTACAACCGAGAGGCAACCATCGATCACAGTAATGTCCAACTTCCTGTAGGACCAAGCCAACACTTCTGGAAGATCCATCTTGCTGAACTTCTCCTCCACCACATTGAACATCACTATATGGAAGTTACTATGAACTGACATTAAATCCTCGCAGATATTTGTCTCGCAGGCAAGCCAATGCACACTGTCGTGGAAAAATAATTGTTCCCCACAACACTTTTCCGCGGAACGAAATAAATCTTGTTCGAATGGAGTATTAATAAGAACCCTCCAAGCACCTTCGTTGAGAGAATACAACTCCACCTTAAAGCAGCAGCCAGTGTGACCAATATGTACAACCTTGAAATCATTCTTCTTTGAATCAAACCCAAATCCATACCGCAAACCAAAATGCATATTGAAATCATTCTTCTTGGAATCTCCGCATGAGTTACACAATAATGTTTGGGAGATTGGGAGTTGGAGGTGTCTCCGTGTCAGAGGGCTAAAGAGGATGAATTTCATTTTCCAATAGGAAGTGAGGCAAACGAGGCCGTTGACAGCGCCGACAAAGGTGTATAGATCTCTTCTAGGAATTGAAAACGAGGATTCGATATTTGTGGGGGAGCATAGAGAATACTGATAATGTGAGTGCTCGACAAGGAAGAGAGGAGTGGAGAGTGAGCGTGGTTGATACGAGGATGAGAAGCGATGGCTTTTAATCAATAAGTTCCAAGATTTGCATACTGCCATACATTTTCCAATGCTTTTAGGCGGTAAGCGATGGAGGATTTCCTCCACTATATCTTCCGGAACACAACAATGTCCAGACATTGTGAGGCCGCGAGGAATCGATAGGGAACAGAGTGCTCTTTTGTGACAAAACCCTAATAGTATTATATTATTCCTAAGGTACTTTACATGGTATGGTATCAAAGCCTCGTCGCCCTCCACTTTCTTTTGTGACGTTTCTTAGCACGGGCCTGTTGCACTGTCCACTCTTCAAGCCCAATGGGCTCTTGTGTGAGGGGGCATGTTGAGATATATAGTCCCACATTGGTTGTATGTGCAACTAATGTGGAGTTTATAAGGCCTTGGACACTCCCACCCTTTGAGCTAGCTTCTGGGGTGAAGTATCCCAAGGTTCTTTACATGGTATCAGAGCCTCGCCGCCCCTCACTTTCTCTTGTGGCGTTTCTTAGCACCGGTATGCTGGGCATGTTGTATTGTCCACTCTTCAAGCCCAATGGGCTCTCGTGTGAGGGGGCGTGTTGAGTTACATAGTCCCACATTGGTTGTATGTGTAACTAATGTGAAGTTTATAAGGTCTTGGGCACTCCCACCCTTTGAGCTAACTTTTGGGGTGGTGTATCCCAAGGTATAAACCTTGGGCACTCCCACCCTTTGAGCTAGCTTTTGGGGTGGTGTGTATCTCAAGGTTCTTTACATGGTATCAGAGCCTCGCCGCCCCCCACTCCAGATAATTTTCATTATTTATATTTTTTTCTCACTTAAAATGACACAATCTTATATCCTTTAAAATACAACTATCAAACCCATAATTCTACCAGACAAATAGGGCTCCTATTCTGAGGAATGTTTTGAGTTCCTTCAGAGGGCAATTATGTGGGATCCACCAGTAAATTTGAGAAAGAAACGACTAAAATACCGATGAAGCAGTGGGGATCATAATCCATTCGTAAACATGTTCAATATAAGTTTGAAGCAGGATTAAACAAAAAATGGGGTTGCGAGATGAACATATATAGAATATAAGAGAATAATGATTATATATCACGGCAAGCTCAAGTAGAAAAAAAGAAGAAGCACATGGGGTGAAATAACACAACCTTCTATGTATAGTTTTATATTACCCTATTTCTGTTGAAAATATGAAGCATACGGAAAGTCTGAAACATAGGCTGTTTAAAGGGAAGACAAGCAGACATATGTAGAGCACTGCCTTGGAAGTTGGATAAACACTCATCCCCTAGGCATAATCATCATTCATCGATCGTTGAGTTTTAACTTGACCTTGCTAGCACTTGACGATTTAGTGTGCAAATTTCCTTGGTGCTTTTAGTCTACAAGGGAAGAGTGGAACTCTGGCTCCTACAGTGTCTAGAAAATAAAAATTTTGTGTTATGTGAGAAGGATCTTCTAGTTGAGATTGGCCTATTCTGCAATGCAAGTCCAATTGAAGCCACTTTGCAAATGGTTGAACTTCCACTACCCTGCTTAGCAACGGTCATGTCCTTGCTACTTGAATTGATTTTGTCACCAAGTTGGTTCTCTGAGCTCTCTCGATCAGAATTTAAATCTAGCACATCATGAAATATCATTGAAGCAGAAGATGAATCCATAGAAATTGACCTCCTCACAGGTTGTATTTCCTCTTCCACTTCCTCTGAAGAATGGCAATTACTAGAGTCATCATCTCCAATCCTCAGTGTACTACTCTCACTCTCTCCAAAATGATCAAAGTTCTCTACATGGGCCTCTTGGTTCTGATTCTGACCAGAAACGTTTACGTTTGAATCAGGCTCATCAGTGACTCTCACCTCTGCACCACAACCAGCATCATGAACCACAGGTGCACGGCACAAGGGACAATTTTTATGAGATCTCAACCATGTATCAATGCAAGGGATGTGAAAAGCGTGGCTACACTTGGGCAAGAGTCTGAGACTCTCTTCTTGTTGAAACTCACCTAGGCAAACTGAACACTCTGTCCCATCTATTAGTCCTTCCTCTTTTCTGTACTTGAAAACTGTGACGGAATCTATGACTGATTGGTTGAGACCCACCGTGCGGATGAACCATATGGGGTGGTTAATGACTTGTCCCTCGTTATCATCATCATCATCATCTGAAACTGGAGAATCTCCATTTACATCGAACAATATAGGTGTGTTTCTTTGGTTGTGTCTCCTTGAATAATAGCTCCTTTGGATTATGGACAAGGTGCAAAGAAACATAACCAAACCAACCAAGCAAGCCATGACAATCATAGCGACTCGAAGTAAAACGGGATGGCTATGCACATGGGCATGGCTATGATAAAATTCAAGGGAAGGTAAATGGGGTAATACCAGAGGCAGTGCAACTGGTGATTCATGAGGGGAAGGTGTTGGGTTTCCATGGTACTGATACTGATACTGATACTGATGCAGTAGTTTTCTATGATGAAAAGCCATTGAGGAAACAGAGTAAGAAACAGAAAAGGTGTTAAGGGAAACTGAAAGTGTTAAGGGGGGGAAGATTCCACCAAGATAAGAGGAAACATGGAAAATGTTAAGATTGTTTTTCCACCATAAACTGTGCCCTGATTAGATGGTAAAATGAGAATTTTGGGCATGTTTCTGGCTTCTGTCACGATTCAATTTCATTCTTTTTCCATTAGAATGTGAAGTGAACGTACCTGGTTGCTTCTTTTCCATGTTTTGGATTCAAGTCAAAATAAAATAGACTTTTGATGGAGCGTTTCCGCGTTAACTTTATTGAAGGTGGGGCGTTATGAGATTCCTATGTGATAATATCTCTTTTTATATTAAACACGTAAATTTCTTAATTAAAATTTACTTATTTAACTTTATTCTTTTATATTTAATCTTTTTACTTCACTCTCAGTTTTCTTATTCTTTATTATCTATTAGTTATAAATAAAATCATCTGTATAAATTTGCTTAATCAATTATATATTTATTTGCTCTTTTCTTATTTATCTGCGCGCTCAATTAAATATTACTTTTTCATTTATAAGATTATATAGTTATTAGATATATTAAGTGTTAAACATTGTTGAGTAATTCATTTTTATATATTAAAAATTAAAGTACCCTCTCTTGAAAATAGAGTATGTGTTAGGCTATTATAACTCTCTTAAAAAATAACAAATTTTATTTTTAAAATTTAAATTCTTTTAAATAAATTATCTATATCAATTTATATTTTATATTTTAAATTTTTGTCTAAATTAATTATGGATATATTTCTTATAGTTTTAAACTTTTTAAAAATATTTTGTTAATTTATATTTTAAAATTTTGCTTAAATTTGAAAATACTCATATATATAATACATGAGTTCCAGTTATGATTTATTCTGGGTCATGAATCACGCAGCTCCCTGCCATCATCACTGTCACCTCATGTAAATTGATAGCTTTGAACTTATTTTTTCCCAAAAAGACTAGAGTAAATTTACATGTATTTTCTGTGTTCTACGAATACATATTTATTTAAAATAACAAATGATATAGCAATTCACTGAATTTAAAGTAAGTTTGACTTTGAAATATTTCGGAACTCATGTAATTGTGACGATGACGAAAAGGATAACATGTAAAACTATCTACTGTTTACCAAAAATAAAAATAAAAATACCTACTTAGTGGTTAATGGGACTGCTCGAAAGTACATAAGAAATCCATCCTTATTCCTTTCATTTTCCTAATCGAATGCTGTAACTATAGAAACCTAATCGATTCCTTGCGTACGTAAGTGGAGAACAATTGTCATTTCTCTTTTTTATTGGGGCTTCATTAGATTAGAACAATTTTTTCTAATGAAAAGTAAGTTTTATTTCGGTCTTCTGAAGAATTGGAAAACAAGAAAAATATCAACAACAACAAAAAAGAAGGGAAATTGGAGTGTTAATTTCCTTCTCTTTATGACCAATCCACCTTATATGACGGTTTTTTTTCCTCGCTATATAATTATTGGAGGTTATGTTACCGTTACATATTTTGAATTTTAAATTTAATTTAGAGTATTATGTTTTGATTTAGAATTTAATATAATTTAAAGCAGATATTTTGAATTTAATTTAGAGTATTACATCTTGATTTAGAATTTAAAATAATTTAGAGCTGATAGGATTTGTGCATTTTAAATTTAGAATTCAATGTAATAGGAGTTGATTGCATTTTGTATTTTATAAGGAGCTAATTGTATTTTATTATAAGAGTTACAATTTTATGAGTTGGTTACATATTGTTGCCAATTTAAATTTATTTGTAATTTGTAATTCTGACCCTATTTATGGGCAATATTTCAATGAAATGATAACACTACAGCAAATTCGCGTTTTAGCGGCGGTTTCTTTTAATATTAGCGGCGGTTTGAACCGCCGCCAAAATATTTGGTGGCCTTTTAAAAACTGACGTAGAAATTGGCGCCACTAAATATTTCAACGTCGGTTTTACACAACCGACGGAATAACTGACGTTGAAAACAAATCCAACGTTATATATTCTTAACCGACGTTAAAATAAAATATTTTAATAAAATTTAATTTTTTAAGCGGCGGTTTTGAACCGCCGCAATTCTGTAATACTGTTTTCTTGTGCGGATATTTGCTGTTGTTTTTGTATTTGCTATTGCTGCTTTTTTTTTTGAATAATTATTTACTGCTGTTTTATCTTATAATTATTTATATCATTACAAAAAACATATTATTGATTGACCGAATATTTAAATTTTTGAATCTATTATCATTAAATTTATACATAATTAAATGTAATTCAAGATAAATACAAATAGTGTAACAAATGCAAAATGTCTCACCATTAAAAATTAATAGATTCAAATACATGATAAAACAAAATAAATGTGCTTTGCAAATTTAATATAAATGGAATCAAAGTATTAATAATACTACAAATGTTGAAACCTGAGTAATCTTGCAAATCAAACCTAAATGGAATCAACGTGCCAATAAAACTACAAAAGTTTAAACCTAAGTAATCTATTAGCACTGATGAGTTGCAGAATGTGAAGAAGGTTGATCACGAGGATTGAACTTTGTTGCCTGCATTAAAAACAAATGAATAACATTTTTAGTAAATGCATTAAAAAATTATATAATGTTTATTAAGAAAAATAATAACTTACTTGATTATTAATAACATTAGTTAGTTCAGTAGGTAGAGAGGTATATAAATTACCTCTTAAGTGTATAAATCCCAAGAGAGAGCACTTTGATTATTTCCCTATGATGACCTTCTTCCCTTCGATACAGCCTCGCTATTATCAAAATCAGCTTCTGTTTCTTTGATCAATCCAACATGCACCAATGACCTGAATTTTAGACTTTGTGAGTGTCTTTGATAGATACAAGACCGAGAGCCTGTTTGACAAACAAAAAAATTTAAGTTAAAACTAAACGTAAAAAATAAAGTTAAAAGCTATTTAATAATTATATAAAATTATTCTTAAGATTTTGAAGGAAGGAAGATGAAATAATTTATTATTGGGATAAATGATAAAATTCATAAATAAAAATTTAGAATAAAGATATAATTGAAAAATAAATATGAGAACTCCAAAAAGCTTATATACATATTAAAAAAAATCTCCCTAGAGTAACTTTTAGCTTTTAACATTTTTCTTCATCACAAAAAAAATCTCCTTCCATGATACGAGCTTTTTAGAAATTAAAAAAAACTACCAAACATGCCCTGAGAAGAGAACTTGAGAAGCCCGAATGTGCCCACCCATTAAGGTCCACCACAATTTCTAGCCAGAGACCTTTCGGCTCCTTAATGTAACCTCCATTATCCATACACAAGTACCATACAAGTTGCATAAAACTCCTCAGCTTCCAGACGAACTTTGACTACACAATACAGAAGAACTTAAAAGATGTCATATATGCAGTGCAGTACACACAAAAGCAAAATCTATAACAACCAACCATGTCTCATCAACTTAAAAGTAATAGCACGTTCCAAATCGAACAATTTTGAGCCCCAACATTTCTAAAAAAAATAACACAACCAACCTTTGAATATTTTATGAATGTGGAATGTATTAGGCAAGGGAAGGCCATACAGGTACTGCAGATGGTGTAGCTGGCCAAGTTCTGGGCCCAGAGATCCAGAAACGTTAGAATTGCCCAAGTCACTGAAATTCAAAGGTTAGACAACTGATTAGAATGCCCAAACCCAATTACTGTAATAATAAAAAAAAACGCAAAAAAGTAAATATAAAAAATTGAAATAGCAGAAATAAAAGAACGAAATAAAAAGAATAATGTTTCTATTGGAGATAATTTTCTGAGTATTTCTAAATTTAAAATAATTTAACCATTATTCTTATAGAAATTTTTTTTTGGTAGAGATTCTTTTAGTATTTTAATTGTTGAAGAATTAAAATAACAAAATTTTAATAATAAATTACTTACCTGGTACGTGAGCTGACACACCGGAATAGGTTGGTGTTCTTTAATGCTTATTTTTTGTCACTGAAACGAAAAAATAAAGAAAGCCCAAAATAAGTAATTATTTTTCCTTGATTTATACGGTCTTCTTTTTTAGGAAATCCTTGAGCCAATTGATTCCGAGATAGTGAATTCAGTTTCTCTACCTTGGCAAGGTCGGAATTAGATTGGAGATACATGTAATTCTCCAAAATCGCTGATATAATCTATTCCAAAATCCACCCACTCAACAAGCAACAAAAAAGAAATTAAATAGATTGACAAAAAAAAGTGTAGCTTCAAGTGTAAACTAACCTCAAAATTCAAAACCCAAGTTGTGGTTCAAAATTTGGAAAAAATAAAGAAATCATAAAAACTAAACTTCAATGTCCAATGCAACCCTTAGTTGTATGTCACTGTTGGTATCAATCAACAGGTTAAAGGAACAAAAGTCTGGAAATAATACTCACTTTGTCAAAATCCAGCGAAAGATGTGAGTGCTCCCCCATGAACTTCACCTGGTAAAAAAAAAAACATAGGGGGAAAGAGCAAAAGGCATCAAGGGTAGGTACCAGACATTCAAGGGCAATTGATAAAAGGTACTGTGGTAGGAACACAGTAACTGCTAACCAGTTCAAATGATTTAACTATCTTGCTTTTACAATTGTTTTGGAAAATAAAGCTTCTAGCCTTCTAAAGCTTAAATTGCTACAAACTATCATTTTCAGTCTTTATTTCTTTTGGCACATACCATTTTCACTCTTTAATTTTGGTAAATTTAAATCCACTCTTTGAATTACCACAACTTAATTTATTAATAACATTCTACTGAATTAAAAAAGTTGGAAATCACTATATTTTATAAAGAAATAACATATAAAAGAGAAGTACCTATATTTTATGAACTTGTTGGAATGCATAAGTAAATTCTGCAAGAAGTAACAAATGAACCAGAGAAAGAGCATTACCATATAGGATAGAACTTGTAGTCCAGTAGAACGTAGAAGCAGAGCTCGTTCATCATCTCCCACTTCTTGAGCCAATTGACAAAGTTTCGGGATAAAAACCTTCAAGTTGAACATGTATGTACTATCTGTCTACTTTTAACTCACCAGGTCAATATCACTAAAGGCAAAATGCAATACGTATACAGTAGCAAGACTTATAATGTAGACTGCAACGTTAAATATAAATCAGTTCATCTGCTTTGAAGGGGGTGGTAAATCACTCACAGAACATGCACCAGCCAACCCTACAGTGATTTTGACACTAACAAGTCAGAAAGGTATAATAATCAAATACCCAGCAATCTATAAATTCTACAAGAGTATTGCAACCTAAGATTCGCATTTCATCTGCTAGAGTTTGCTCTAGAAGAGTCTGAATGATCCCTAATAAACTATTGGCAAAAAGTGGCATGCAAGAATAAGAAGCATCATTTGAATATTAATACTTAGTGAAATAAAAAGCAGCATCATTTGAATATTAATACTTAGTAAAATAAAAAGCAGCATCCAACATAATGAGCGCAATTCCAACTCAGTCTCTTGTCTATACAAAACAACATAGAGTTTATAACATTCCACTGCAAAATAAAGGACCTAACAGAAGGGGAATACAAAAAATTAAGAGGTGGGAAACAAAGCCTAAATTAGAGGGCATTTCATAAAACCTATCCAATTACTACACAAATTCATTCCTCAGTATTTAAAGGTAAAGAATAAATGAAAGAGAAATCAGACACTGTGCATAAGGTTGGACAATCAAAACTGAAAACTCAAACAGTGAAGTGGGTTTTGTAACACTTGAAAAAATGGCTAAAGGAGGATTTGCACAGCTCTCCTACAGAAATCAGCTTTTAGGAAACTACTTTCCTTGCCTCTGTTTTTACTCTTTTGGATTATCTTTGTTGAGGAATTCTTATTCTCCAATCTTTTCCTCGTGCATGCAAAGCCACATCAATGCCCACCCGATGAAACTATGCCTCCTCCTGAAACGAAACCTCTATGTAAATCCTAGAACTGATTCTGCCAAATGCGAGAAAGATTATGTTGATGGAATAAATTAGCGATTATTCCAGAAAAAAATCAAAAAAGAAAATTAAAATTAGAAGCACCTATTATATTCTTACACCATGTAAATTTTGGGGTGAATCAAAGTGACTTCAATTCAAGGAAACATATTCGAATTGAGAATTTGGAGAAAAACAACTAATCAAGTGGAAGAACACAAAATTAGAGCTACAAAGAAAAATACCTTCATCATCAACAATACCTACAAATAACAATTACTGAGCTGCAAACTTTCAGAATGAAGATAAGGAATTAACTTAGGGTTTCTGGCGTGGGAGATTTCGATTTGAATTAGCTTCTATGCAAAATCGCAAACCTACTGAGGATTGGGTAGGAAGTTCTTACGTAGCAATAACATTGGTGAGAGTTACCCCAAACAAAACCATTTTCCCTTCTTTGAGGTCCAAAATATCTCGCTGGCTTGTGAATGAGACAAAAAAATATCGCAAGCGAAATGATTGTAAGGGATTGGAATGTTGAGATTTTGGATAAATGTGAAGCGTAAGAGTTATGGAAAGAGAGAGGGAAAGGGGTGGGGTGATTTTGGAAGCGCACGTAACAAGAAAAAGTCACTTTAAATTTATCGATTAAAATGCAGGCGGTTATATTAACCCGACGTTAGTAAACAGCCACGAAAATGCGAATTTGCTGTAGTGAAAGGGGATGGATATTGTAATAAATACGGGTGTAAATAGATTAGGCTAGGGGAGACTTTGACTTAAATAAGTCAGATCTGTGTAAAAAAATTTATGTCTGGCCTAGTCTATTAGCTTGTATAGACCCCAAATCACACGCCTGGTCTGACCTATATTTAAAAAATAAAAGACTAAGCCTAGGCATGTTAGCCTGTTTAAGCATATTAAACATTCAACAATTAAAAAAATATCTAAAATAATATTACTTTATTATTCAAAATTATAAAAATAATAATTTTATTTATTTTATTTAAAATAAATAATATGATATAGGTCGTCCTGTAGGCTTATAGACCGATATATACAAAAAAGTCTATGACTTGCTTTCTAAATAAGCTTTTTTAAAAGTCTAGACCTATTCTATTTGACTATTTGGAATAAGCTAAATCTGGCCTAATATAGGCTAAGTCGTAGGCCCCTGACCTAGCTCATTTACACCCTTAGTAATAACCAACTAGTGTTATTATCAATGTTACTATCGATCAATTTTACAGTTAGATCGTTTATATTGATCCAACGGTTGTATTTATTTCCATCTTCGTATGGTTATGATTCCCTATATTTAATATTTTATATTTATTTTCACCTTTGTATGATTATGATTTCCCATATTTAATGATTTCACATTAAATACAAGGAATCATAACCATACAAAGATGGAAATAAATATAACCATTGGATCAACATAATCGATCTAACACTAAAACTGATTGGTAGTAACATTAATTGGTTGTTACAATATTACTTCAAATAAAAAAAAGAGTATAGATACCAATTTTTATCTATGATATTCTAAACTTGTCCGGTTGTCCCAAGCAAATTCACTACTAATTCTAACTTTTCTTTTCTTCGCGTCAAAGATCAAGTTTTAGATTCAATGAATGAGGTAAGCAATGTATCATACAACTTCTTGCTCGACAATCATTGAAACTATATGAACTACATCAAACAAGAATGATACTGATGAGGTAACATTTAATCCCTTCACTTCCACTGTCATATAATTACAGATATAGTAAACAAAATAGAGTAAAAGCAAATTGTACCACACAAAAATCATGATTAGGCCTACACCCTAGTAAAAGAAAATTAGATATCTCAACTTTTAATAGAGAAAATAATTTTTGAGAAAGTCATTTTTTGTATAAAAGAGTCTTAATTGGATAATAAATAAATTGGTCAAAATATATAAAAAAATATTTAAAAATATAGTCAACATCATCTTATCAAGAATAAAATTATCTCTCAATTGCAGCCTTGAAGAAGAGGAAGGCAGTCCTCCTCTTAGCTTCTTAAAATCCAAAGGGTTTGGTTTAAATGGTGCATGCTTGATTTCGTTTAAGTAAGGTCTTGAGTTTAAGTTGTCCTTAAGAAAGCGAAAAATTTCCTTTGAAAAATCTAGCTCCATAACGTGGATATTCTCGGTTCAAATATAATTGCTTTCCATGAAGGATACTTGTTTATCCAAAAAAATTTAAGCTTCTTGACAAGACGAGTCTTCTACGTAGAGGTGGCAAACCCCCTGCCATAAAATAAACTTAACGGTTAAGATTTAGTTATAAGAGATTGTAAATATAATCTCCTTGATATATATATATGGCAAAAATATTTCACAAATTGTTGGACGTCCAACTAGTATTCCTTATCGTTGATTCTCATTTATTCCCCACATTTAATGTTTTTATCTACCTATGTATGGTTATGATTCCTAGCTGGACGTCCAGCAACTTGAGAAATGATAACATATATATACATATATATATATATATATATGAGATATGTTATTCTACCTACTCTTATTTTGCTTACATTTGCATATCTCTTTCAATATCGTTAGAATACAATATCATCCAACAGTGGAGATTTACGATATAAAATAAACTCTTTTATCCATTTCTCTTTACCATTGTCTCTCGCTCTTTCTCTCTCCTCCCCTTTCTCTCTCTTCAATGACGCTTCGGCATAAAAAAAAGGTGCAAATTTTTTTCTCAATTCATCCAACCCAGCTATTGTTATGAGCATTTACATAAAAAATAAAAATTGGGCGTCAAGAAGAAACAAACCCAGATGCCTTATGTTATGGAACCAAGTAGGCCTGTTGTTGAACGTAACATACAGAGAACAGAGATCGGTGAAAAACAAGATAAGAAGAAGGAGATAAGTTGATTTGATTTCAAATTTCAACAGCAAAGTGGAAATGTTATGGTAATTGTGGATTAATTCAAAGGAAAGGATTATTCGTGGTTTTCGTTTTTTTGTTGTGGTATTTTTATGGTTTCTGTCGTGTTCAATTATATCAAACTCAAGAAAATTTGAAAATTATACTCATCTAACAGAACTATCATGCCATTAATCATTGCATGATTTTAGATTTAAATATAAATTCAAGTTGTAAATTACGCAAATCGATAGAGAGAAAAAGTGTGGGAGGCAGTGAGTAGAATGAAAGGAGAAAATAGTTTATTTTATTCTATAAATCTTCACTGTTGGATGAGATTGTAATCTAACGGTGTTGAGAGAGGTAGGCAAAATAAGAGTAGGCAGAATAACGTATCCCTATATATATGTACACACACATATATTTATATGTAAAATCATATTTAAAGTTGTTGTATGTGCAACAATGACAGGTGTATGATTATGATTCCCCATATTTAATGCTTTCATCTTTTGTATAATTATAGTTTTCCACATTAAATGCTTTAACCTATATATATGAAATTTTTTTCAGAAAAATCGAACATATACATATATATATATATATATATATAGGATTTATTGTTTGTCATGTCATACGACCTAAGATTCTGTCGAGTCACCTAAAATCTATATCATTTTGAGTGGGAGAAAAAAAAATTGTATCTTTCTTTATAGAGCATAACTTTTTTAAGTTTCCCCGTCATCAAGAACTTCTTTATAGAGCACAAAGGAGAAGGATTGAGACGCACGACATCCTTAGGACATTCGAGCAATTTCTGAAATTGAACCTCTTTGTCTTCGCTTTCTTCTTCAAAATCATATATGGTGTGGGCGTGGGATGCAATGGTTGTGCTGATTAAAGGATCATATGATGATTTAGCTATGAGAGCAGTGAATCTGGCAGAGAGATCTTCTCCCAAAACAGATTTCAGGTCATGATCTTGAGGAGAAGGAAGAGGAGAATCACTTTTCATTTTAAGGGCATGGAATCGACGCTCGAGATCCAGATGGAGATCACTATGCTTTTCAGTAGAAGGAGAAGCACAAGCTATGTGGGAATTGAGGGAGAGAACGCGAATGACACAAATTTTTTTTCTCCCGCCCAAATCGACGACTTAGATTTTAGGTGACTAGACAAAATGTGAAGTATTGTGATATAACAAACAATAAACTCATATATGTAGATCAATCTCATGAGAAATATTATACTTAGTGCGATTTTAGGCTTACTATTCTTATTGGTTACTATGGGATCAATTTGGAATCAACATCAGTTACTTTTTCTTATTTTTTAACTGTTCAATTCAAATTGATCCAACTATACCAACAAGGTAGTAAGAGTAGTAAGTATAACCGCCCTTAATCGTATATATAAATATGAAAAAATGTTTCTGTTTTTGCTGCAGAAAAAATTTCTCTGCCACATTCAGATAAAAGTAGTGCGTCCCACTAATCTTTTCCCTTTACAATAGGCCCCACTCGCTTTTATGGGAGTGTGACAAATAAATTTTTTCTGTAACAAAAGCAAAAATATTAAACCGTATATATATATATATATATATATATATTTACGGCAGATAATGTAGACAAGTTATCTACATTAAGCCCAAAATAACATCATTTTTGGACGGAAATCAAAGATTTTTTGTAATTATAATTTATTTCAGGAATATAATAGTCTTTCTTATTATAATTTTTTAATTTTTCAACCCAAAACGGCATCGTTTTGGGAGTAAATGTGGATAACTTAAATATATTCACTATATAAATATTAAAGCCATATATATATATATAATAAACATTTTTAAATTAAAAAATATTTTAAAAAACACAAACAAACATACTAGTTAAAGATAGTTAAACATACTAGATTGAGAGTGTTTGGTATAAGTTTTTTGGTTGAAATGTTGGGAAACTGGGGTGGAAATTTCTTCCTCCCATGTTTGGTATAAGTAAAAGTGAAAATACTCACACGATGCTTTTTTCTCCATCATTTTATTTTTAACTACACATCCCTAAAAAATAATACCATCCTACCCATGGTAATTTAGGGATGTTCGCGGTATGGATTGAATCAGTTTTGGAAGTAAAAATCATTTGATTCAATCCCTTCGGTTTAATCATGTAATCATCCATTCGGTTTGAATTTTTTTTTCAAATCCGATCTGATCCAATCCAATTTTATTCAGTTTGGATGAGATCGATTTTCGGTTTTTGGAAAAGTCTAAGATTTGTATGATGATTATTTTGCAAATAACTCATCTTTTATATGTATCGGCTTTGTAAAGTTTGTATGATGATTATATTGCAATCTAGAAGCATTCTACAACAAAAAGTTAAACTATGATCTTTTACTTTCAACAAAAAGTTTATAATATGGTTCCCTGAGATACGAAGTAACCCAAATTTTCATCCTATAAAGGAGCTGTTGTACAACAATAACCTATGTAATAAAAATATATTATGTATCTTACAAAAAAAAAAAAGCATAACATAGATAAGCACAATCTGCTTTCTCCAACATGATGGGTTAATGGATCTTGGATTTAGAACTTTGCTGTATGATTTTTGGGCTATGATTGAGGAAAGACCCAAGTAGGTAGATGGTAAGGTTGGAGAATAATTGGATCGGT